CTACCCCATCTGTCGTTCCCTGGTGGCCTTTGTCAAGACCTCGCCGGCGTGCTCCTGCGGAGGGGATCCCCCTACTCGGCTCCCAGCTCCCTTCTAAGGAAAAGCTGTGTCCTTCTAAGGAAAAACTGTGTCCTGCTTTGTGTTTAGGGCCTAAACCCCAAACACTGTCCCTCGAAAACCAGTTCCAAAAGCAAGCATACACAAAGACACAGACGCAGACGCAGACGCAGACACAGAGGCAGAGAGAGAGGGAGACACACACACACACACACACACACACACTCTTTCACTTTTGGACACCTGGGGTGGTCCCCCTGCCTTATGACGTATCAGAACGCAAAACCTAATTCCTTGGAACACAGGAGTGCACACACACACACACATACCTAGTTGAGAAAATTACCGAAAAAAAGGGATCTTGTGTTTAGACTATCTCCTAGAGTGGGTTGTATGTATGCAGTATACTGTGAAACGGTGATTTCTCTAAATTATGGTCCTTCGGGGGTCCTTATGATAAGGCGGCCCCTCTTTTTTAGGGTACCCAAAAAAAGGACCCTAATTTAGAGAACTGACCACATGTAAATGTAGAAAACGCTTTGCGGCTTTGCGCAAGTCCTTCTGCTCCATCTCTCGCGCTTCCAGGCTGGATTTCGACAGGCGCAGCTCAAGCTTCTCCAGACCTGAGCAACGGGGTTTAGGGTTTAGGGTTTCGGGTTTAGGGTTTAGGGTTTAGGGTTTAGGGTTTAGGGTGAGCAACAGGGTGTTTGGGGTTCCAAGGTACCCTGTCGCAGGATGCCCTAAACGCGAACCTTAAACCCACGAACCCTATCCCCTGCACAGATTCATCAATAAAACAAATCGAGCGTTGCCGACTTTGCTCTGCGTGTGCTGTCTGGCAATACTTCATGCTTAGAAGTAAACGAGGCCCCTACTTGTCACCAGTACTTGTCAGCAGCCCTTGCACACAGACCCAAACAAGCGGTGCTGTCTAGGATTCAGGCTTTCGGCTTTAAGGTTTAGGCGAACGCTATCAGAACGAGGGAAGATGTGTCTCATGTGACCTCAAAACAGCAAGCAAAACCGATGGGAGCGAGAGCCCAAAAAACAATTTCGCATACAACTGAAAGCACGAATCTTGCTCCCTGCAGTGCTTCATTAGTCGACAGTGCCCTAAACCCTAAACCCTAAACCCTAAACCCTAAACCCTAAACCCTAAAAACCCTAAAACCCACGGACCTCAGAGCCCTCTGCACCCGAGCAATGAACCCCCGACCCTGAGTCCTAGTTCCCAAACTCTGAGAAACCCTGACCGTTCAACCATCCTCCGAAAATCAGGGATTAAACCCTAAACCCTAAACCCTAAACCCTAAACCCTAAACCCTAAACCCTAAACCCTAAACCCTAAACCCGCTTTCAAGTAAGTAATAAGGGAATGTCAAGAGTTCCGCAGGTTCCCCCTTGTACCCTGGGAGCACTTCGTGCGCCCCGGGTTTGTTTTAAGGGATCCCAACTATGGATCCCTCGAACAAGGGGATAAGGTTGCTATTGACCCTAAACCCTGCGTACCCTAAACCCTGAACCCTAAACCCTAAACCCTAAACCCCAAACCCTAAACCCTAAACTCTAAACGGCAGCTCTTGGTGGGTACCATCTTCACCCGAAACCCTATGGAACCCACACCCTCGACTCCCCTGGACCCTAACACCCTCATCCCGGGACCCCGACAACCCTACGACACCAAAGCCCGCAAAGCCTACAACCCTAAACCCTGGACCCAAAAACCCTCTTCCTATAGGGTTTAGGGTTTAGGGTTTAGGGTTTAGGGTTTAGGGTTTAGGGTTTAGGGTTTAGGGTTTAGGGTTTAGGGTTTAGGGTTTAGGGTTTAGGGTTTAGGGTTATCCTGCAACCCTAACCCCCCGTAAACCCTTTACTTGTGAGGCCCAGGCTTGAAAGCCAAATTGGGGCTCGCTCGCGGCAGAGCTTGGCGAAGCGCTCCTGGGTGTGTGGGAGGGCATGTGTCCGGGGCTTTAGAGTTCAGGGTCGAGGGTTCAGGGTGAAGGGTTCAGGGTTCAGGGTTCAGGGTTTAGGGTTTAGGGTTTAGGGTTTAGGGTTTAGGGCTTAGGGTCTGTGATGTCTAGGATCTGCAGTTTAGGTACCCCCTCCCCGCCCCCCACCTCCAAACACGATGCTGCGTCCGGCCCGCAGAGGACGGACGCTGGCAGCAGGTCGTCCCCTGCACCGCAACAGGTTGGCATTCGCTTTTGGGGTTTAGGGTTTAGGGTTTAGGGTTTAGGGTTTTAGGAGTGGGGTTTCAATGCTGACCAGCAGCAGGGGTGTAAAATCCCCCCTAAATGACCTGACCCCTGAGGTCCCTTGTGAGGGTCCCTCCTTTAGTCCCTTGAGTGTCTCAAGAACCCCACCGAGCTTGCGCCTACTTCGAACCTTGAACCCCTAAACCCGAAACTCCCGGGCCCTGAACCCCCAAACCGGAACCCTAAACATGCAACCAACAGCAGGTGTTGCTTTCTGGGGGCCAAACGCTCTACCCCTGGTGCTTCGCCCTCAGACCTCCCTGCTGGGCGCTGTTGTCAAAACCAGCCTAGGGTTTCGGGCTTAGAGCTTTTTAGTTTCAGGTTTGGGGCTTAGGGCGTTTAGGGCTTAGGGTCTAGGGTTTCGGGATTACAGATTAAGGCTCAGGGCTTAGGATTTGAGGGTCTCCGCCTCCGGAGTTGACCTGTGAAGCGGCAGCCCCCACCAGCACGGTGCGTTTCAGCTGCGGGTCGAACCTGTGGGAGATGAGGATCCGGCTTTGGGGTTTAGGGTCTAGGGTTTAGGGTTTAAGGGTTAAGGGTTAAGGGTTTAGGGTTTAGGGTTTAGGGTTTAGGGTTTAGGGTTTAGGGTTTAGGGTTTAGGGTTTAGGGTTTAGGGTTTAGGGTTTAGGGTTTAGGGTTTAGGGCTTTGGGTTTCGGGTTTCGGGGTGGGGAGGGGGTCCGGTTCAGGGTTTGCAGGTTGGGGTCTCCAAGAGTTTTAGGGGTCAGGGTCAGGACTGTTAGTGCGTGGGGCGGGCAGAGTGTGTGCAGCGCATCCCAAACACTGAACCAGAAAAACGAAACGTCGAACCCTAAAGCCCAAACCCTGAAACCTAAACCCCAAACTCTAAGCCACAAACCCCAAACCCTGAACCCAAAAACCCCAAACCTTGGACCCAAAAACCCACCCTTTTCTAAGGCTGCCTGGATCAAGAACTACGTCCGGCATTCACACTATCGCTTGGAGCTACTATGCAAGCCGAAAGAATTGTGTAAGCGTGAGCTGCACCTCCAGTGCCAGTGTCGGTGTGAAATGGCTGACCAAAAAGTAGCTTTTGTGCATGACCACTAAACCCTCTACTAAACCCTCGCGTAGATCCACTAAACCCTTAATAGAACTCCACTAAACAAACCCGACTTAACTCTACCAACCCTCACGAAACCATCTACGAAACCCTTTACGCACCCTACTCAACCCTAAACCCTCTATGAGACCGTACTGAGCCTGTACCAGACCCCTTACAAGACCCTATACTAAACCCTTATGCGACCCTCTACTAAACCGCTACCAAACCCACTACAAAACCCTCTACTAGGCTCTGCTAAATCTACTCAGCCCTATTAAAAATTAAACCCTTTACTAACCAAGAAACTTCCCATTTGAGAGAATGGGGATGGAAGTGGGAATTGAAGCCGCGAGCCCGAAACCCGAAGAGGAGAAAAGTTGGGTGGATGCCTGCGCAAGCAGGAAGAATGAACCAACTCACCGTTTGTCTGGTTGTTGGAAACCGAAACCCCCGTGAAGGCGCCATTACTGCCGCCTGAACCCCAAACCCCGAACCCCAAACCCTAAACCCTAGCCCCTGAACCCTAAACCCTAAACCCCAAACCCTAAACCCTAAACCCTGAAACTCAAACCCCTGACCCCCTGCGATCCTGCGGCAGAGCTCCAATGGCGGGCCAGGCTCAAGGCAGACGAGGAGGTTGCCTTTCCGTTTAGGGTTTGGGGTTTGGGGTTTGGGGTTTGGGGTTTGGGGTTTGGGGTTTGGGGTTTGGGGTTTGGGGTTTGGGGTTTGGGGTTTGGGGTTTGGGGTTTAGGGTTTAGGGTTTAGGGTTTTTTAGGGTTTAGGGTTTAGGGTTTTTACATGTAAGCCCCGTAAGAACCCTCCAACCCCTTGAAGCTCTCCGTAGCAGCACGCTGCCTGCGGAGGAGAGGTAGCGTGCGCGCATGTCCTGGTCGAAGGATGGTGTAGACTTTGGGTTGAGGGTTCAGGGTTTTAGGGCCTTTAGGGTTTCAGGGTTTAGGGTTTAGGGTTTGGGGTTTTTGGGTTTCGGGTTTTAGGGTTTAGGCGTTTCGGGTTTTTGGGTTTGGGGTTTAGGGTTTAGGGTTCGGGTTCTTTTGTTTTCGGATCTAGGGTTCAGGGTCGGGGGGTTTCAGGGTGTGGGGCCTGGAAGGCTCAGGGAGCTTGGTATAAGTAGGCTACGTTGGTAGGGAGAGTTGAGTTCAGGGTTTTTAAACTAGGATCCCAAGGTTCGGGTATAGGCCTCAGGGTAGTGACACCGTCCCTTAGTTTCGGGCGGGAACCCCTGATATGACATACCCCTTATAAAGCCTCTAGCACCCAAGGGCCCGCACTTCAGAACCCCTTTTGCAGAAGGTACGGGGCCATAAGAAGGGACCATGCAACTACACTAAGACTGGGGCACGTGAAGCCTGATTGCTTACTAAGTTGCCCTAAGCCCTAAGTAGGCTTGGCGTTGAGGGCTGAATTTCCCCTAGACCCTAAACCCTAAACTCCTGAACCCTAGACCCTGGTATAGGTGGCTCGGGGATTACGGCCAGGGCAAGTATCTCTTGAAACCTAAACGCGAAACCCTTGAACCCCTGAACCCTACACCCAGGGCCTCAAAAGCCCGAATCTTAGCGTTAAGACTGAGTAGCTTTGAGGTTTATTGCAAGTATTAACAGGTTCGGGCCTCTAGGGAAAATTTCGAGGAGTTTCGTAGAGTTTAGGGTTTGGGGATTTAGGGATTTAGGGGTTAGGGTTTGGGCTTCAAAGCATCGGTGTTGAAGCCTTGCAGCCTCAGGATTGAACTTGAAAGTGAACGTTGGGCTCCCTGCGTCCTTTTGCAGCCCTGAGCCAGAACTGAACTGAACTCTTAGGGCTTAGTGTTTAGTGTTTCGGGTTTAGGGTTTAGGGTTTAGGGGGACTAAGGTAGGGGCTTAGGCATTCAGTTCTTGAGGGCTCTAGGGCCCTAAGCCCTCGAAACCTTTGAGGAACCCTCGCCGCCACCTCGATCTTGGACTCGGAGAACGAGCCTTTCCTCGCAGAGTCGAGGCGGTTCAAGCCCTAGGCTAGAAACCCCCCCAACTCCCTAAACCCCACAAACCCCCTAAACCCCCCTAAACCCCCCTAAACCCCCCTAAACCCCCCTAAACCCCCCTAAACCCTAAACCCCGAAGCCACAAAATGAAAACCTAAACCCCAAATAATTAGTTAAACTCGCAAACCCGAAGTTTTTCCAAACCCCAAAACGCCCTAAACCCTAAATTCCCAAACCCCAAACCCTAAACTCCCAAAAACCCTAAAAAAAACAAGCCAAACCCTAACCCCTTTGTTGTTTCATCACAAAAAGGACTTGTGTAGTCTGTTGCTTTTTTTAGTTTGTCTGCCTCTCTTTTTTTGGAGGGGGGGGGGGTGGGGGGGGGGGGGGGGGGGGGGGGGGGGGGGGGGGCACGCTTGGCTCTCGTGGGCTCGCCAAAGCCCTGAAGCACCGAAAAAAAGAAACACCTAAAAAGTCCTAAGCCCAAAAAAGCAGCCCTCTAGAGCGTTTGGGGCTTAGGGCTTAGGGCTGAGGAGTTAGGGCTGAGGATTTAGGGTTTAACCCTAAACCCCAAACCCCAAACCCCAAACCCAAGCCCTAAGCCCAAAGCCCTAAGCCCTAAGCCCCCGAAACCCTAGACCCTAAACCCCAATCCCCAAGCTCCAAACCCCAAAACCCAACTCCAGTCGACTCTGGCATCCAAGCCAGGCTGCTCTGGTAGGTGCATTAGGTCCAGGTTCGCACAGCCTGCCAGAAAATTCGCAGAGGAACGTAGGGTTTAGGGTTTAGGGTTTAGGGTTTAGGGTTTAGGGTTTAGGGTTTAGGGTTTAGGGTTTAGGGTTTAGGGTTTAGGGTTTAGGGTTTAGGGTTTAGGGTTTAGGGTTTAGGGTTTAGGGTTTAGGGTTTAGGGTTTGGAGAGCGGCTCGGTTCTGCGGTCTGGGGCTTAGGGTTAGGGCTTGGGCTGTAGGGCTTAGAGCTTATGTAGGGTTTACGGTGCTAAGTGTAAAGCTTATAGGCTTGTAGGGTTTAGGGTTTAGCTAGGGCTCAGTGGGTGTAGGGCACAGGGTCCATAGTTGGGCACAGGGTTGAATGGACAGTAAATAGGGGGTATGGGGCTTGGGGCTTAGGATTTTTGTTCCGGCTCAGGACTTGCGGCCTTCAAACGGCTGTTAGGGTTTCGGGCTCTACAGCAGCAGCGGAAACAGCCAAGAGCGGATCTACAACTCCTAGACCCGAAACCCCGATTAGGGCTTCGTGCTTGGGGATTAGGGCTTGGGGTTTGGGGTTTCGGGTTTAGGGACCCAAACCCATCCTAAGCCTCAAGCCCTAAACCTCAAGCCCTAAACCCGAAACCCCAAAGAGCCGCCCAGAACTCTTTGGTCCGGTAATGCGCTAAGGACGCTCGCAACTGCTTCTTAGGAGCGACAGCAACCCCAAACCCTAAACCCGAAACCCGAAACCCGAAACCCGAAACCCGAAACCCTAAACCCTAAACCCTAAACCCTAAACCCTAAACCCTAAACCCTAAACCCTAAACCCTTCCCCCCCTGCCCCCGCACGCGCCTGCCGCTGAGAGGCGCATCCGGAGCCTGTCGACCTTGAGTCGATTCCCCAAGGCCTGGAAGTACTTGGAGATTCATGGTACTTATTAACCAATTAGAGGGGTTTAGGGTTTAGGGTTTACGGTTTAGGGTTTAGGGTTTAGGGCACTTATTAACCAATGAGAACTGTTTTTGATGACCCACTTATAAGCCCCTTAAGTGCCCTAACATGGTTACAAATACAGTTGTAAGTACAGTTGTAAGTACCATGAACCTCTAAGTACTGGTGCTTACCGGGGAATTGCGGATTGCAGGCTGTAGGGCTTAGGAGTTAGGATTTAGGTTTTGGGGCTTTGGGTTTAGGGCTTAGGAACTAGGGGTTAGGGTTTAGGGAGGGTTTAGGCCTCAGGGTTGAGGGTTGAGGTTTAGGCCTCAGGGTTTAGGGTTTGGGTTAGGAAGTGGATGGGTGAGGCTTCGGACGGCGTGGGGTGGGAGAAAATGTTAGATGGCCTTCCACAATCGGGCCAAAGCTGCTCTTCGCGCCTCACGAAGCTTTCGAGCTTGCGGTTTTGGAACCTTCACAGCATCTACGCCCTATCACAGTAAACCCTAAACCCTAAACCCTAAACCCTAAACCCTAAACCCCAAACCCCAAACCCCGAAACCCTACACCTCAACTAGCCCGCCTGCTGAACACTGCGCTGCACCTCGCGGAGCCACTGCTCCGCCTCGGCCCCCTCGCGATCCATAACACGGACCGACTTAGGGCTTTGGGTCTTGGGCTTGTTTAGGGTTTAGGGTTTAGGGTTCAGGGTTCAGGGTTTAGGGTTTAGGGTTTAGGGTTTGTTTTAACCCCAAAACCCTAAGCACTGCATTCCCTTAGCGCCTTGCAGAGAGGATCTGGGGGTTCCAGGGCTTTTTCGGGGAGTTTTCGGGTTCAGGAGTCCAGGGCCCCTAGGGTTTGAAGACGTTTGGAGCGGCCCCTGAGGAACCCCTAAGCGCGAAACCCGAAACCCGAAACCGATACTTGATAATCATACATCCTGCGTATGAGGGTCAGTACCAGAAACCCTTTAACCATTCTGAACCCCCAAACCCTAAACCCTAAACCCTAAACCCTAAACCCTAAACCCTATAAACCCTAAACCCTGAACCCTGAACCCTGAACCCTAAACCCTAGACCCTAAACCCTAAACCCTCAACCCTAAACCCTAAACCCTAAACTTTGCGGGCTTGCGACTGCTTTGTAGGATTGGAAGCAACCCCTTGGCGTCCGGGCTTCCACCGAAAAGCGGTTTTATGTTTAGGGTTTAGGGTTTAGGGTTTGGGGTTTGCGGTTCGGGGCTTGGGGTTTGGGGTTTGGGGTTTGGGGTTTGGGGTTTTGGGTTTGGGGTTTGGGGTTTGGGGTTCGGGGTTTGGGGGTTTGGGGTTTGGGGTTTGGGGTTTGGGGTTTGGGGTTTGGGGTTTGGGGTTTGGGGTTTAGGAGCTCCACCGCAAAAAGGGGTAGCTAGAGACTCTGGTGTGGGGTTTAGGGTTCAGGGTTCAGGGTTTAGGGTTTAGAGTTTAGGCTTGCATATGGAAGCGTACACATCTGTCTAGATTTGACGATGCGGGCCCGGCAGGCGCGCGCGCACACACACACACACACACCGGCATAGAGAGAGGGAGAGAGCGCAATGACTTGCTCATGGAATACTGAGTATGACCCAAAGACATCTGCGAGTAGAAGAAGAGTTTAAAGAGGGGGGGGGGGGCCTTGGGGGGAGGTGTCTCGTCTTAACGCGGCGGGCGCAGAAGAGGCACTCATGCTTTTTTGTGCTTGCTAGGCATCTCACTGGTAGCCCAACAGCTGCCGGAGGTTCTGGATGGGAGTGTACATCCCCCAGTTTGTTCCAGCACCGCCAAGGCTTCACTCTCACAATCTTCACTCTTGCTGTGGTTGTTGCCCGCAGAGAAGCCTTACTTCTCCAGTAACCAAAGCATACAATAATGTTAAGCTTCATTCTCTTACTACAGAAGGAAACCAAAAAATGAAGGTTAACGGTGGGCGCAGAAGAGGCGCTCATGATGTATTTGTGTTCGCTAGGCATCTCACAGGTAGCCCAAGAGCTGCCGGAAGTGCTGGATGGGGGCGTACATCCCCGGAGTTTCTTCCAGCACCGCCAAGGCTTCACTCTCACAATCTTCACTGTTGCTGTGGTTGTTGCCCGCAGAGAAGCCTTACTTCTCCAGTAACCAAAGCATACAAAAATGTTAAACTTAATTCTTCTGGCTAAACAAGGAAGCCCAAAAAGTTTCAAGGTTCATGAATTGGCGAATAATTTAGCGGCCTTAATCATGAGAATCGGGCTTGGGTGGGTGATGATAGTATATCAATATAGGGTCTTAGGGTAGTTACATGGTCCCTTAGTATGGGCCATTCCAAGGGGGACCCCTTATATGCCCTACCCAAGGGCCCATACTTCAGAACCCTTTCAAGAAGGTCGGGGACTATAATAAGGGCCCATGCAACTACCCTTAAAATACAGGGACCCACAAGGGAAGACTATGAGTCATTGCTCCGACCCCTAGAGTGAGCAAGACGCCGTTCTCGCCCCTGTTGAGGTCTTCATGCTTGGCCAGCTCACGGATCTCTTCGTGCTCCTCCTGGGTAGCTCTCTCTAAGTGAGGGTCCCTTCTTGGGCCCCTACACCCTAAACCCTAAACCCTAAACCCTAAACCCTAAACCCTAAACCCTAAACCCTAAACCCACCCTAAACCCTAAACTCCAAAAAAGGTACCCTAATTCAGAGAACCTCCCTCCCCCTCCTCGGTGATGAGGTCTCCGAACATGAACTCCTGGGTTCATGTGAGAGCTCAGAAGACGATTTGCGGCTCCTAGGAGTATGGCCACCACCTTCTTATGCAAATATGCGGACACATACACATATATATATATATATGTACATATACACATACATACACATATATATATACATATATGTCTATTCATTTTTTAGGTATCTATCTGTGCCTCTTTATTTGCTTACATATTGTAAAAATTTACGCATGTATTGGTATCATTGGGCGCGCCCCGCCCCCTCCAACAAAAACACGACCTGAGTCGCAGGAACTTCCAAACACCTAAACCCTAAACCCTAAACCCCAAACCCTAAAACCTAGAGCTTGCAGGCTCTTGGGGACCACAGACAGCGAACCGAGATTCTACTTGAAGGCTCATGGAACCTAGCAAGTAGGTTCTGAATCAGGTCATAAATAGGAAAACCACTAAACCCTAAACCCTACACGCTAAACCCTAAACCCGAAACCCTAAACCCTAAACTTCTGAGCCTTCAAGTATTCTTGCCGTGGCGCGAAGAGTGACTTGACATGGACGTCGAAGCTCTCCGATGACGCGGTGAGGTCCTCGTAGCGCGAGTTGTACGTGTCGCTCTCGGAGTTTCTGTAGATGGACACCTAGGGATGGCTTAAAAGACCCTCTGAGATAAGATTCCTGAATATGGGTCCTGAATATGGGTTTAGGATTTAGGGTTTAGAGTTTAGGGTTTAGGGTTTAGGGTTTAGGGTTTAGGGTTTAGGGTTTAGGGTTTAGGGTTTAGGGTTTAGGGTTTAGGGTTTAGGGTTTATATACCTGAATAATGATCCTCTTAGTCCCAATAAAGGAAGATATAGAAAATGTCCCAAGGGCCTTCCTAGACACCATGCTGGTGAAGATCCTCAACATGCCAGGCAACACGTCTCGCATGCCCTCGCGCGGTCCCATGGTCATGATGTCGGGCCAGGTTGCGATGGGGTTCCCTTGCTCCATGCCGCGGTGATGGTAGCAGTATGAGGACGCAAGCATGACCTTGGGATCACGGACTGCATGAGCCATCTTGACCTTACTTTGCCCATCAGCAAGGAAACAAAGCTTCAAGGCTAAAGCTTTACGATGCCTACTACACAAGGAAACCCCCAAAGAGTTAAAAGCTCAACTGTTGGCTAATTAAGTGACACCATCCGAGCCCGCCAGCTCTCGATTCGTCTGCAAGACCCCCAAAGATGCGGAGTTGTCCCAGTGAATACGGCAGTCTGGGGACTCGTGGCACTTGTGCTCTCCGCCCTCTGTCGTGATCGTTGAATGTGTGAAGCCCTGCTCTTGGCAGGAGTAGTTTGCGCCAAGGGCGTCAAAGGCCCACTTCATGGTGTTTCGGAGGAGCTGGCTCCCTGCCTTGTGGTGCGTCCCTACGAGGTAGAGGTGCCTATTCCAGGGCTGACTTCCTTGGTAGCCCAGGAAAACCGAATTCTAACAAGGGGCACCCCTTTTGGGGGTTGGCTACTTTACAAGGGATCCCAGAACCACAACAAGGGTCAAGGGTACGTACCGCTGGGCTGCCAGGCTTCTTGTCCGGGACTGTACATGGAGGCCCCTCTGCAGAAACTCGACCTGGTTTTCGCAGCTTCCGTCCTCGCTTGCAGCTGCCTCGGCCAGAAGCAAGATGCTGAGAATTCGACACCAGGCCTTGGTTGCCCAGGAACCACACTTTCAGCAAGGGCGTTTAGGGCTTTAGGGTTGAGGGTTTAGGGGTTTGGGGTTTAGGGTTTTGGGGTTTGGGGTTTAGGGTTTAGGGTTTCGGGTTTAGGGTTTAGGGTCTAGGGGGGGAGGGGGTTTGGTTGCTTGAGCCAGGAACCCACAATCCAAAAAAAGAAACGCGCAAAGGGTACCACGATGGGCTACCAAGAAGCCATGGGCCCTGGGATCAACCTTAGTTGTCCAGTAAACCCTAAACCCTAAACCCTAAACCCTAAACCCTAAACGCCAAAAAAGGTGAAGCGTTACCTACTCTATGGCTAAGCAGCAGAAATATGGAAGGAAGGTTCAGTGCGCCAAGGGGAGTCGTTTGCAATCTTGAACCAACGGGCTCCAGATGCAGGATGCAGCTTCGAAACCCCAAGCCCCCAAGCGCTAAACCCTAAACCCTAAACCCTAAACCCTAAAAACCGAAACCCGAAACCCGAAACTCACAAGCGCTAAGGCCTAAGCCCCAAAACCAAGCGACTCAGCGTCGAAAAGCCTCCCCAACGGCCCCCGACCCCCAAAGACTCACTGTTGGTTAGTAGGGAAAGGGCGGCAATGAGGTTCCCTATATAATCCCTTGAAAGGGTACATATAGGGTACCTCATTCCCTCATTCCCTACTAAGCAACAGTAATCACTGTTGGTTAGTAGGGAATGGGGGGGATGAAATTCCCTAATTCCCTATATAGTCCCTTGAAAGGGTATATGTAGGGTACCTCATTCCCTCATTCCCTACTTTCCAACAGTAAGAAGAAGAAGAAGAAGCCGGAGAGGCTCCCGCTTTGCGTTGATGCTTTGGCGCTTCTGGGGTTTGCAGGGATTAGGGTTTAGGGTTTGAGGTTTAGGGTTTAGGGTTTAGGGTTTAGGGTTTAGGGTTTAGGGTTTAGGGTTTAGGGCTTTTAGGGTCTGAAGCCCGTTTCACTTTGAGACCCGAGTAGAACTGCCGGCCTCGAGGGTGCAAATATCTTTCCCCGACCTTCAGAGCTTTGGATTAAGGGGTTCAGGTTGTAAGGGGCTTCGTAGGGTTTAGGGTTTAGGGTTTAGGGTTTAGGGTTTAGGGTTTAGGGTTTAGGGTTTAGGGTTTAGGGTTTAGGGTTTAGGGTTTAGGGTTTAGGGTTTAGGGTTTAGGTTTTAGGGTTTAGGGTTTAGGGTTTAGGGTTTAGGGTTTTATGGCTGGGGGTTTAGGATATCGGCTGGGGGTTTAGGGTTTAGGGTTTAGGGTTTAGGGTTTAGGGTTTAGGGTTTAGGGTTTAGGGTTTAGGGTTTGTCTAGGGTTTAGGGTTTAGGGTTTAGAGGCCACTAGGGCTTCGCAGGGTTTAGGGGTTCGAGGTTCGAGGGTCTAAAGTTGGGGCCGACGATCGTGGGGGGGGCTTCCTGGTCCATGAGCTTTGTGAGTTGCCTTTCTCTTAACAGGTGGGTTAAGGGTTTTGGGTTCAGGTTTCAGGGTTCAGGGTTTAGGGTTTAGGGTTTAAGGTTCATGGTTTAGGGTTTAGGGTTGAGGGTTGAGGGTTGAGGGCTTAGAGGGATTCGGCTTCCCGCCTTGGGGAGTCCTCGGAAAACAAAACCCAAAACCCAAAACCCAAAACCCTATACCCTAAACCCTAAACCCTAGCCTAAACCCTACACCCTAAACCCTAAACCCTAAACTGTAAACCCTAAACCCTAAACCCTAAACCCAAGAAACGGAGGCCTCATCTCCCAGGCCATCGGCTGCCGCATGCCAGGCTGCACAAGGATCTGGGCGGAGGCTGGGGCTCTGGGTGTATATAGCTGTGGTTTAGGGTTTAGGGTTTAGGGTTTAGGGTTCAGGGTTCAGGGTTTAGGGTTTAGGGTCTAGGGTCTAGGGTCTATGTGCCTTGGGTTTAGGGTTTAAGGCGTTCGGGTTTGCGGGTGCCAGGGGCGTAAACGCTTAGGGGTCCCTCCTCACAACCCCTCAACCCCAAACCCAGAACCTTCCCATGTACCTTTGTGGGCCATACGCCACAAGGACGGGTGTTTTGAAGGGCCCAGCTTTACGGCCAAGATCTTTTGACCTGTCGAGGTGCCCAGACTTCAGATCAAAGTCTCTTGACCTTTCGAGCTGCGAGCAGCCCAAACAGATCTTTTTGACCTCTTGAGGCGCTCCTATGCCAACTAACAGTTTATGGGGCCATGGTTTTGTCAATAAGATGTTTTCGCTTGGTTTTTGTCATCCCACCTGAAAAACGGTAGCTTTTAAGTACGTGCTAACCGCAAATCTACACGCATCGTTCAGCATGGATGCTCTGGCCAAGGGGTGCACTGGCAGCATGGACGGTATATAACAAAAACAGAAATTATATACATATACATATGTATGTATATGTGTCTATATATATATACATACATATTACATACGAAGTGTAAAAATGCTGTGGAATGCACACACTGGCACGGACGAAATGGTCGTCCAAGCATTGTTTGCTGTGGCACGTCGCACACACCGGCAACACGGGCGCAATCAACAACCCTAACCTCAACCCTAAATCCTAAAGCCTAAAGCCTAAACCCTAAAGCCTGAATGGGCTTGAGCTATTCCTTTTTGACCCCCGGAGGGGCGCAGCCTTCGGATCATGACGCAGCCTTCGGATCATGATCTGTTGACCCACCGAGGGCTCCTTCCCGAAACATTAACCCCTAACCCTTGAGCCTGAACCATCCTAAACCCTAAACCTTGACTGTTTCTACGCAGCTTGTCTCCAAGGAGCTTCTTCGAGACAGCGCAAGACCGCACGCATAAACTGTACTAAAGCCTTAAACCCGAAAGCCCTAAACCTAAAGCCCTAAACCCTAATGCCCTAATGCCCTAATGCCCTAAAGCCCTAAACCCTAAACCCTAAACCCTAAACCCTAAACCCCTAAGCCCTAAACTCGAAACCCCCCACCCCCTAGCTCTTCAGCCCAGCCGCCGCAGCAGCTTGCTCTGCTACAGCGGTCTCCCCCAGCAGAGCAGCGATGACCTCTCGGCCTCTTCTCAAGGGACTCTAGCTTGGTTTAGGGTTTAGGGTTTAGGGTTTAGGGTTTAGGGTTTAGGGTTTAGGGTTTAGGGTTTAGGGTTTAGGGTTTAGGGTTTAGGGTTTAGGGTTTAGGGTTTAGGGTTTAGGGTTCAGGGTTCAGGGTTTAGGTTTTAGGGTTTAGGGTTTTAGGGTTTAGGGTTTTAGGGTTTTAGGGTTTAGGGTTTAGGGTTTAGGGTTCAGGGTTCAGGGTTCAGGGTTCAGGTTTTAGGGTTTAGGGTTTAGGGTTTAGGGTTTAGGGTCTAGGGTCTAGGGTCTAGGGTCTAGGGTTTAGGGTTTAGGGTTTAGGGTTTGGGGTTCAGGGTTTAGGGTTTAGGGTTCAGGGTTTAGGGTTTAGGGTTTAGGGTTTAGGGTTTAGGGTTTAGGGTTTAGGGTTTGGGGCGTAGGGTTTAGGGTTTTGGGTTTTGGGTTTGGGGACCTTCTTTAAAGATCCTCTGAGAGAATGTAAGGGCCAGATGGGGAGCATATTAAGGGAAACCTCTTAGGGAACATCCTTGGGGGTCCGAGTATGACTCCCTTGATCACCTTGCTCGCCCCAGTAGCCATATTGCAATGAGGGTACTCTTTTTGGGGTCGGTTACTTATAAGGGAACCTGCAACCAGAAAAAGGGCAAAAGGGCACCCCTTAGGGTTCTAGGGTTTTGGGCCATTATATTTGGGTAAAGGGTTCGGATTCAGGGCGTAGTGTAGGGCTCGGTGTTGAAGGCTGAAGTCTACGCCGCCAAGACTACTCCTCCTGATGATGACACCTGCTAGAAGATGGCAACCCTAAACCCTAAACCCAAACCCTAAACCCTAAGGATTTAGGGCTTGCAGATGGGAACCCTGCCCTGAACCCTCACTTGTGAGTCTGGGTTTTTGCTCAGGGTCTTAGGGTTTTGGGGCCACTAAACCATAAACCCTAAGCCTTAAACCCTAGACCCGAAACCCTAATCCCCACGCGAAGCGAACCACACACCAAAGTGCAAACTTGCATGTTAAACTCTCCGGGCTTAAGGTTTAAATGCCTGCATTCTCATCAGCGCACGACCTGCCCAACACAACCCAAATGCTCAACCTGAAACCTGGAAGATCCCAGGCCCTAAGCCCTCAACCCAAAACGTCGCAAACCCTAAGCCCAAAACCCCAAGTCCCAACACCCTAAGCCCTTCACCCCAAGTCCCCAAAACCCTAAGCCCTCAACCAAAACAATCCGAAACCCTAAGCCCTAAATCCTCCGCCCTAACCCCTAAACCATATTCGACTTATTAAGGCCCCCGAAATAAGGGCTAAACCCCAAATCCTCAAACCCTAAGCCCTCAACCCTAAACCCTGAACCCTAAACCCTAAACCCTAAACCCTAAGCCCAAGGAAGCGGCGCGCGGCAATCCCGCCGACCAGAATGCACTCTGGGAAGCGATCCAGCAGCTCACGGACCTCGCGCAAGAGAAGGTTTAGGGTTTAGGGTTGAGAATTTAGAACCCTAAACCCTAAACCCTAAACCTTAAACCCTAAACCCTAAACCCTCTAAATTCCCTAGGGTTTAGGGTTTAGGGTTTAGGGTTTAGGGTTTAGGGTTTAGGGTTTAGGGTTTAGGGTTTAGGGTTTAGGGTTTAGGGTTTAGGGTTTAGGGTTTAGGGTTTAGGGCCCCCGAATCCTGACCCTTAAATCACAACAACCCTCAACCCTCAACCCTAAACCCTAATCCTGAGCTAATAGTTCCGTGGTTGTCGCGGTTCTGGACAACCCTTCAGCCCGCCTGTCGGAAACCTTTATTGCGCTCCATACGTGGGCACGCGAGGTTTGCTTCTGTACGTGCTTTGCAAAATGCGCTCTGTCCCACAGCAAGACTTGCCTTTGGCCTCAAATAAGGGTTTAGGGCTTAGGGTTTAGGGTTTAGGGTTCAGGGTTTAGGGTTGAGGGCTTAGGGTTTAGGATTTAGTAGGGCCATGGCCCGCAAACCTGAGACAGCAAACCCTTGGTGTAGAGCGGGTGGGGCTTCGGAATTTGGGGCTTCGGACGGTTTACAACGCAACTGCGCCGAGGGGCCCCTTCCACATCCGTGATGCCCTCCAGGGCAGTGCGTATCTCACCTGGCAGGTTTGGGGTTTGGGTTTAGGGTTTGGGGTTTGGGGTTTAGGGTTCAGAATGTGAGGGTTTACGGCCTAGAGTTCAGCGTTTCAGGTTTCGGTGTCTAAGGAAAGTCTCCCGATAGGGGCTTCACAAGCAGGGATAGGCTCTCAGAGTCAAACCCTGCACAAACCTGCGCATCGCTTGCTTCCTAACCCCCACCCCAACTAGCCTCTCCCTCAACCTTAGAACACTAAAACCCCAAACCCCAGAACCTAAATCCTAGAGCCCTGGACCCTAAACCCCAAACCCTTTTTGGCCTTTCTCTTGGGGTAGGGGGGAGTAGTTGATGGACCCAAACCTAGGGTTTGGAGTTTAGGGTTGAGAGCTTGGGGTTTCTGGGTTGTGGCGCAGGGCCTATCCTACGAGCAACAGATCACGATAATGCTTGTGGCAACTTAGAAAAGAATTGCAGCAAAAAAACTGATAAACCCTCGAATACACACAGCAACTTAAGATCAGCCCCAATAGATTTTGTAACCTAGGCCATAAAAACCCTAGGGACCATATTCGGAAGGCAAGGGATCAATTCAAAACCCTAAACCCAACTCCCTGAACCCTTTAAGGAAGGTAAGGGCTATATTAAGGGACCACGCAACTACCCTTGCCCTATACCCTAAACCCTAAACCCTAAACCCTAAACCCTAAACCCTAAACCCTGAACCCTGAACCGTGAACCCTAAACCCTTAGACTCACCTACCACTCTTTGTTGCCTAGGTTGAAACTTCGGGCCCCAACGCTTGGAGCCCACAGTTTTCGGGGTTCGGGTTTAGGACTTCCAGGTGAGGGCTTTAGGGCTTTAGGGCCTTATGGTTTTGGGGCTTTAGGGTTTTCAGGGTTGTAGGAATGGCTTTGGGTTTTTAGAACTTGGGTTTTTTTGGGGTTTCGGGCGGAGGCTTAGTAACACTCGGGGAGTTGAGCTTGGGGCTTTCGGGTTTAGGGTTTTGGCTGCAGGCTGCAGACGCCCTGAAATAGCCGCCAGCCTTCCGCGCTGGCCTTGCCTTCTGTTTGGCCTTCGCCTTTGCAGCCGCAGCCAGCAATGCAGTTTCGCGCTCTCGCACGACTGCAGCTTGCGTTGCCACGGCTTCCCAAAGCGTGGCCCTGTGAAGCAGATCCTCGATGCCTCCTGCCTGCTGAGCACGTTCTCGGCTTGCTGCCGAAGTCCTCAACCCTACTCGGATCGCAGAGGGAGGTGAAGCTTCAGGTTAGCTCGGGCGGTTTAGGGCTTAGGGGGAAAGCCTGACGTTGATTGTTAGCAATCTGGGTAGGGTTCTTCGAGCCCCAAAACTTGGACTAAACCCTAAACCCTAAAACCCTAAATTCTAAACCCTAACCCTAAACCCTAAACCCTGAACCCTGAACCCTAAACCCTGAACCTGAACCCTGAACCCTAAACCCTGAACCCTGAACCCTGAACCCTGAACCCTGAACCCTAGCCACTTCCATCTGGCGGTGGGTAGCCCCTCCACCCTAAACCCTAAACCCTAGACCCTAAACCCTAAACCCTAAACCCTAAACCCTAAAGGAGCGCCAGGAAGGCTCAGCGCCCACGCAATGCCCCCGGTTGTCACGCGGCGAGGCTTCTTCACCTCCATGCTGAGGCCCGAAGACCACCAAACCCTAACTGAGGGTTTAGGGTTTAGGGTTCAGGGTTTAGGGTTTCGGCTTTAGAGTTTAGGGTTTAGGGTTTCGGGTTTAGGGTTTAGGGTTCAGGGTTTAGGGTTTAGGGTTTAGGTTTTAGGGTTTAGGGCTTGGCGCTTCGGGCTCTGGGTTTCATTCGGCAGATTTAGGCCTGCGGGCTTGGGGTACCAGGCATGTTCCATGCCAGCAAGGGCACATGGTGGTTTCGGGTACCTCGAAAAAGGGGATCCTACTAATCCTACAATTTAGGGCCTGTTTTAGGGGTCCCCTTTAGTTAAGGGTACCTCATTGGGGCCCTTATTATACGGGGAGGCTACTAACCCTACTATTTGGGGTCTGTTTTAGGGGTCCCCTTTACATTAAGGAGGCTACCTTACAAGGGGATCCTACTAATCCTGCTATTTGGGGTCTGCTTTAGAGGTCCCCTATTTTCGTAAAGCCCCCACATCCCACGAGCGCGCCAATGCCTTGGGAATCTCTGCGAGGGCGGAGGGCGCCCGCGCAGGCGACGGCGTGGCGAGCGCGCCGTTGGCCGCGGCAGCAAGGCCTCCCAGGCACGTGGGTGCGAGGGTTTAGGGTTTAGGGTTTAGGGTTTAGAGTTTAGGGGTTAGGGGTAAGCAAAGGAATGAGAGTGTGCCAAGGAAGGTGACGTATGCATAGTGCACAGGGTGTTGGGGGAGCGGAGTCCTAGGACAGACTTTGCTCCACAGAACACTGCCTCCCAGGCCTACACTCGACAGTCTAAAGCTCCGGCTACAGGCCCCTTGCACTTGCAGAAGCTGATCATGCCCACTGCGGCTGCCGCACCTTCATCTCATTCTGAAAAAGCCCTCAACCCTAAACCCTAAACTCTAAACTCTTAAAACCCGAAACCCTTAACTCTAAACTCTTAAAACCCTAAACCCACTTGCATCACGCAGATTTCCACTCTGAAGTCCCCAGACCGGGCGCCTTCTCGCTGGCGCTTCTCCTTTCGAGCAGATTGCTCCTTCTCCTTCTTGACCTTGGCAAAACACACGTCATTTAGGGTATAGGGTTTAGGGTTTAGGGTTTAGGGTTTAGGGTTTAGGGTTTAGGGTTCATCGCCGCTCAAGCAACAAACCCCAAACTGAAGCAGCAGGAGCGCTGTCAGGTGCCTCCAAATAGCCCAATCGGCCCCAGAGCTACGACAAGACTACGATTCGCCCTCGTCCGTAGGTCTTGCTCCGAAAAGGAATTTCCCCGCTCCGTCTCCATTCGGCTGCATCTTCTTCCCATGTTTAGGGTTTAGGGTTTAGGGTTCAGGGTTTAGGGTTTAGGGTTCAGGGTTTAGGGTTTAGGGTTTTGGGTTTTGGGTTTTGGGTTTAGGGTTTAGGGTTTAGGGTTTAGATCGTAGAGCCTCGGACGCCACTTCTTACGACCGGAGCAGCTGCTGATAGCCAGAAATCCCAGCTTCAACTTGAGCGAAGTTTTGTTGGGGTTTGAAGGAGGAAGCCTTCTGAATTACGCGCAAAAAAGCATATCCAAAACCTAGAGCCCTCAGATTCTAGACCCAAGAGTAGCCTGGGAATGTAAAAGGGCACCCTTTTGTGTGGGGCGTATATGGGAACCTACAGTAAACTCCACAAAGCTGGAACATCCTTATCCCCGTACCCTCAAAGGTATACAAAAGGGAATCCCGAGCTCTATTCATCCTTAAACCATGTTCCAACTTGCTGGAGCTTACTGTACTGCAAACCCTACAGACAGGGAATAAGGGCCTACTCTGCTTTCCCGGGAAACAAGTGGGCGGATTTCACACCTCAACCCTAAACCCGATACCCCAAACCCTGAACGCTCAACCCGAAGATTGTACCCATAAACCCTAAGCCTTAAACCCTGAACCCACGGGCTTCTAGCCCTCTTCTGCGGCTGCTCCATGGGAGGCTGCATGGCTGGAGTGCCTGTAAGGTTTAGGGTTTAGGGTTAAGGGTTTCGGGTTTAGGGGTTAGGGTTTAGGGTCTAGGGTTCGCGTGTCTTTGTTAACTTAACCTCGACCCACGTAGTTCTTTTCGTACGGGGCACGACGACCAGAGAGCTGAAGACTTCCGAAAATAGGAGTACCATTTTGTTTTTGTTGGGGTGGGGTCCGATCACAAGGATTATAGTGTCTTGGGGGGTATGTTAAGGGTTCCCCTATTCTGGGAAGTACCCATATAGCAAGTAGGTGCTCAGCAAACCTTAGGGTAGTTACAAGGGGCCTGAATTGGGGACCCTAAACCTTACACCCTAAACCCATATACCCCTTACATAGACCCTAGAAAACCTAGTTTAGCAAAAGAGGGACCACCTTTGAGGCTTTCCCTTCTTGGACCCTATGCCCTAAACCCTTATTGGTTTAGGATTTAGGTTTTCGGTTTTAGGGTTTAGGGTTTGGGGTTTAGGGTTTACGGTTTAGGGTTTCGGGTTTCGGGCTTCGGGCTTAGGACTTAGGTTTGGTGATTTTTTCGGGGTTTATACGCTCACGGGTGCAGGGTTTGGGGGTGGGGACTTGAAGGCTCATGGGTAGCTATAAGGAGGGTTTAGGGTTTCGGGTGTAGGGTGTAGGGTTTAGGGTTTAGGGTTTGGGTTTAGGGTTTAGGGTTTAGGGTTTAGGGTTTAGGGTTTAGGGTTTAGGGTTTAGGGTTTAGGGTTTAGGGGTTAGGGTGTTGGGTTTAGGGTTTAGGGTTTAGGGTTTAGGGTTTAGGGTTTAGGGTTTAGGGTTTAGGGTTTAGGGTTTAGGGTTTAGGGTTTAGGGTTTAGGGTTTAGGGTTTAGGGTTTAGGGTTTAGGGTTTAGGGTTTAGGGTTTAGGGTTAGGGCTCGGGGAATGTAGAAGTAGGGCTGGCAGCGAACAAAGCCTAAACGTAAAAACCCTAAAGCCTTGCCATCAAAGTCCTACCCTAAACCCTAAACCCTAAACCCTAAAGCCTAAAGCCTAAAGCCTAAACCCTAAACCCTAAACCCTAAACCCTAAACCCTAGACCCTAAACCCTAAACCCTAAACCCTAACCCTGTGAGGCCCGGCCGGCTCCTGCATTTGGAGTGGCATCGGCCGGCTTTGGCTTGGGAGCCTGAGCTCAATACGAGGGAAGGAGCTACGTGACCGAAGGGTTTAGGATTTAGGGTTAAGGGTTTAGGGTTTAGGGTTTAGGTTTTTTTTTTTTTTCAAGGCCTTGCGCGCTGTAGGTACGCGCGCTTTGGCGCCAGCTCGAAAGATGTTTCCCGCAACTGCTTGGCAATCTTAGCGTACTTGAATTGTGGTCCAAAATACGGTGTTGCGGTGTGGCCCCACTCTTCGGGGTAGTTGTTCTTTGTTATGGTTTCTAACCAATATGGAAACTGCATTCCTCTACGTCTGCCTGTAGCCAGTATTCTGTCTTTATGGGCCGAGCAAAAGACTACGTTGTGCATAGGCTCTTCACGGGGTGCGTTGAAGACTTGAGGGGTATTCTGTTGTACTTGGGTAATACAAGGGATCCACAGCAACAGCATGGCCGTCAGAGAAATACACATTCACATCGGACATTTCGAGTTTTGTCATGTACCTGAAACATTCTTGGGCTGTGTGAATGGTTGTGGGCAGGCCGATGAGATGAACGATCACCTTGTACAGGGACAACGATGGCACTTCACTCTTCGCCAGAAAAGCTCTAACAGCGTCATCCAAATCTTTCGGCGTCGGAATCTCATCTGGTCGGAACCCATCAAAGCCCGCTTTGAACCACCTCACGTCGCTTTTCAGCGCATGCACCACAGAACTGCCTTTGTAAAGCGTGACCACACCGTTCCTACAATAGGACACTTTGAGGAAGCTATTCTTGTAAGCCACGATGGAGCCGGGGACCAAGTCATAGTCATCCGGCAGCTCATAAGCCTCTCTGTAAGCTTCATACAACTTGTGGTGGATATTCCCTTGTTTCCACACGTCTGACTTCATTCGGAAAGACTCAATGTCTGATCGCAACCAACCATCAACAAGAGCATCGCTTGCGCAAGACTTGTCCCCAAAATGCGTGTCGTCCAGGACAGATGATGAGTGCGTTTGACCACAGTGGCAGTGTATCCTATCAATGGCAACTTCATGCCCATCATAGCCCCGACTCTGTTTCAAACGCAGGTTGGAAGCCCGCGCTTCTGGTGTCTTGCTGTCGCTTTGTGTCTCTGTATTTCTGGCTCTTTGTTTTGCCGCTGTCGCTTGTGCTCTCGTTCTGCGCCTCGACCGCCCATATTGCTCAGTCCCCAATATGGCATCTGAGCCTTGCTGATGCGGATTGTCAGTGCGCATGATATCAATCCTTTCAGGATTGACTCCTCGCTCTTCCTGACTGCCTGCCGAAGCCCGAAAATGGCGGTAGGGCGATTGGTGTCCAGACAGAGAAGGCTGCCCAAAGCCTGTATTAGGCTCTGGGCAATAGGGTTCAAAGTGAGCAGTGGTGCGCCATGGCGGAAAACCTTGGGATGACCGCCCCCGCTCTCCCCACTGCCGTGACAGAAAACCTTGGTCACGCTGCATCAATGCAGCGATCTGCTGAGTTTGCGTCTGGACTACCGCTTGCAAAGTTTGAATCTGTTGTTGTGATTGTCTCTGCATTTCGATGAGCTGCCAATGAGATTCTACTTGTGTTCCTTCGGAAAAGCCGGATGGCAATGTTCCATGAGAAGAAGACGCAGCTTGTGTTGGACTAGCATTCCCACGAACACGCCAATCAATTTCACTCGCTGTCTGTCCCAGAATATCTTCGACTTCATGCCTTCCAAGGCCGACGACAGTCATGGCAACAGAAACGTCATCATCCCAATCGTCCTGCGTTACAGTGTAATTGATTGAAGTGCCCTGATGCTCGGATTGCGGGCGTCCACGAGTCTGAGTTCCAAAACTTCGGCTCCTGGGAAGTCGGGGAGGCTCCCTAACTTCCTTTCGAAGTGCTTGGAATCTTCGATTCTGCTTCTTTTGTGGCCCAGGGTTCTTGGCCTCACCAATTCTTTCACCCACATACCATGACCAACATCCACGCCCAGTAATGTAACTTGCATGGCAAACGAACTCTCGTGGATTTGGTGCACAGGGCAACGGTCGCAAGACTTGGGGCCCAGCACCAATTTCAAGAACGCTCTTGCCACGCTCACATTTCTGAAAGAGCTGCGCTGTACCTTCCGGCATAACAACTGTTTGCGTGATCAGATGGTCACCGACCTCAACCTTATCCCTACATGCAATCTCCGCTGCGGACATTCGAATGTTCTCAATTCTACTGCACCAATGCAAGTTTTCGCTCTTACCCCCTGCAGACGGTCCAACGAACCAATGTGGTATCAGGTGACATCTCTCCATCTCAGACTGGGAACCGGATCCCTTGTATCCTTGACAAATCTTGTCACCAACCAAAGCAGTATGACTCATACCTGCCCCGTCGGCGGGTGCCAGTACACAAACCTTCACAGCGAATGCACTGCATCTCTGTTCCGGAGTTTCCAGCTGAACCGAAAACGTCGACGGCAATGGGGTCTGGGCAAGCTGCAGGCAAGGACCCTCCTACTAAACCTGCAGACAGCATGACCTGGTTCTCCTCCATGGTCATGAACCTTCGTCTCTCCGACGCGTCACTGGTCTTTCCCAGTTGGTCACTCACTTGTGGGGACCACTAGCACACCTCCGTGCGTTATTACGGCCTACCCGTGGTCTTAGCACCACCATTACTCATCCTCACGGGACTTTCACTAGGGTGTAGGGTTTAGGGTTTAGGGTTTAGGGTTTAGGGTTTAGGGTTTAGGGTTTAGGGTTGAGGTTTTTCGGTTTGGGGTTTTGGGTTTGCGGGTTTGTGGGCTTTGGGTTGAAGACTTAGGATTGAGGGCGTAGGGTTAAGGGTTTAGGCTTTGGGATGTTACCATGTTCTGAAGGGTGGGGGGGGGGGGGGGAGTTAGGCAGCCTGGTCATCCCCACTAAGGCCCCTAGTACTCCCGGAGGCTCAGCCCTACATACTTAGAACCTCAATACCAAAGTCCCTACATGCCAAAGCGCCCCACAGCGCTCAAATACCTACAGTACTTGGAGGTTCATGGGTTAGTTCTAAGTAGAGTCGTAAGTATTGTAACTAGACATATAACCTCATTTAGGGCACTTATAAACCTACTTATAACTATCCATGAACCTCCAAGCAAAACCTGAATCTAATCATGTTCTACAGGGACCTTGAGAATTAGAACAGGGTTTTGGAGTTTTCTTGTAGGGACCCTAAGGATATATTATGAGAAACTATTCCGACCCCCTATGGTAGGCCCCTAGAGTAGGGTTTGTGGGTCTCCTTGCCCTGGCCATGGCAAGCGGCCTCGGCAGCAGCCTGCACTGCCTGGTAGCGATAGGTTCTAGGGTTGAGGGTTTAGGGTTTGGGGTGTCGGGTTGCGGGTTTAGGGTTAGGGTTCCATGGTTCAATGTTTAGGGTTTGCTGTAATGTGGCGCAGAAGCTGTGGAGGTTGGGATGCAGACTAGGCTCGAAAGCTTCGTGCATGCGAAGAGCAGCCATGGCCCGTTTAGGGTTTAGGCGAGGCTTCTGCCTCGGAGAAGATTCAGGCCGGTTGCTGTGAGATTGCGCTCGACCGGCTACAAGAAGTAGCATAGGGGCCTAAAAAATTAGGATAGGGTTTTGGGGGGGTTATCATCGCAGAATTAGAGGGACCAGAAGGGAATACGATTACTAATTATTACGACCTGTTCCCACTTCCCAGGTTGTGTCCCAACAAGGGAATGAGTGCACGAAGCCTCTCAAAGCGCGGAAGCCTAACAGCACCTTCTCACCCGCGTTGGGGAGGCCCCGGCCGATGGCCGAGGCGGCCCGCAGCGTTAGAATCATCGTCCCTGTCGGGGTACCCTAGATATAAGAGCCGCCTTACAATAAGCAAGGGGACATCAACTTAGAGAAGTGCCCAAATGTGCTGCAAACGGGCGCTATAAGGCCAAGAGCGTGCGACATTATGTGCGTGCGTGGTCTGAAATGGTCCGGTCTGTTTCCTACGATATGCTGTATCTACTTCTAACAACTTCCTTGTCTTGCATTAGTGCTACTATAACCTACGTTGGTGTTGCAGTTGTAAACCCCAAACTAACTCACAACCCGGAGAATCTTGTCAACGCCGTGCGGCAGTGCAGATCCTTCTTGTAGAGTAAGTACTGTGATGCGTTAACCGATGGTTCTGGCTGGAGATAGGTCGCTCATAAATAGATGCCCGCGTTCAAGAAACTGACCTATCCTCACGTCTCACAGAATACGCAGAACGCAAGCATGTGTTTGATAATCAACAAGGCGCTCTGTACCAACTCAAACACCACATGGGCAGCCTCTCTGAAGGAGAGCCTGTCAGAGCATTTTAAGTGGGCTTTTGGGGAGGGGGGGGGGGGGGGGTTCGCAAGCTCACGGGTTTGCACTGCCAGTATCATTGTGTGACGGGCAATATGAAGGAGAAGACGCCCGGAAGAATAATATTTCAGCACACCAGAAGTCGTTCATTCGCGCTGCATTTAGTTCTTTGTCTTCGGTTACTCGACAGCAGACAGGAAGCAAACCAAAGGCAAATGGAGATGTCTACCAAAAAGTGTCACATAGCCTTCAAAGTTTCTGCTGCTCACTCCCCGCTTACATGGATGCCTGGACCCATCTTCCCTACTCCTCCTCCTCCTCTCCCTCCTCACATTCATAGTCCACCCCCAGTCGAACAGGTAGGACACGACCACGATCACGACCACCCTTGACATCACCCTTTCCATCACCGCCCCCGGGTCGACATTCTTCATCTGCACGATCCTCCCCATGGTTTTCACCACCTCCACCGCCCATCGTGGTTCGCAAAGAGGCCACTTCTCCAGGTTTTCCACCCACCACCTCTCCACCCACCACCTCACCAACTTCTCCACCAGCTAACCCAGAGGAAGTCGGACGCGACGAGGCCGAGGTCATAGTCCAGGAAGACATAGTCCGCGGCGAGGGTGAAGACGTAGCCCGTGGCAAAGACGTAGTCCACATTCAAGAGCATCTTTCCTTCCGCCACCACTGCGGCATTGGTGAAATAGCCCTGTGAACGATACACAGGTCCTGGGGATGCCTTCAGGTTGATTGCTTGAGAGTGAGCCTCATCACACCACTTCTCCCATTTCTTTTGGAAATGTCGTGGTGCCTTGTCTTTCTTTTTCAAATGGTACTTCACAGCATGCTCCGCCATTGCGAAAGCTGCGGTACCATAATTGAGATACCCGACGGTTCGAGCATCTCCAAAAGTGCCGCATTCGTCTTCTTTGAAGTTTTCTTGAGAAGCCATCAGGTCCGCCGAAGAGAGATATCTCTTGTATGCTCCTTCAACAGATCCAGAGCTTCTCGCCCTGCCTTCGTAGACTGCTGTACATAGCGCCGGTGCCCAGGAAGTCTGCCCCAACAATCCTGTGGTGAGGGCATCAAGAAAGTATTTGTCTTGAGGCCCAACAGCAAAGTTCGCTGGAGGAGCGTTCTTGAGCGCCGCAATGGTCAAGTCCAGAGTGTTCTGTTTTGAACAAAATGGTTTTTCACCATCTTCATGCTGCGTCACAGCTCTCAAGATCTTCTTGAAGACTGCTGATGGCGGATTCTTGGCTTGATCTGGTTTGCCAAAATAGCAGCAGAGAGGATGCTGCAGAGGACTCAGTGTTCCCGAGGCCCCATAAGCCCTCGCCATTGCTATCGAGGCTTTCATTGTATCCTCATCAAACATGCCCTTTGTCATTTCAACCAGCTGTTCGTCTGGCCCATTGCATCTTACCACTCCCTCAACTATGGCTGCGTGTTCTGCTTCCAATTCACCAAGAGTTACAGTGTCAAACACTGTGGAAGTGTCCAATGCCTCCTGTTTGTGTACCCACCACGGCTTGAAATCCTCGGGCTTTGGTTTCTGCTCAATTGGTTCCCCACTGGCCGCCGTTTTGAGTTCTCTCAGTAATGAGCCCAGCTTCATTTTTCCACCAACTGCGCCGTGGTACCATAGCAATACCCCGGCCTCAGAAGGTTCGCTTGAGCCCATTGCTTGAGCCAAAATGGCTACGGCTCAAGCAGTCCAGGGTTTAGGGTTAAGGGTTTCGGGTTTAGAGTTCAGGGTTCAGGGTTCAGGGTTCAGGGTTCAGGGTTCAGGGTTTAGGGTTTAGGGATTACCCCCTCCACACCCTCCAGTGCCACCTGCTCCGGTGCGGCCGCAGGGGCAGTGGCAGTCCCACCGCGCTTACCCATGGCTCTGGCTTGTCTTGGGCCCACTCCCAGTATGTTCGATGCACCCAAGCCCTGAAGCATAAACATCTGAGGCCTCAAAGGGCCTACATCCTAAAGCAACCCTAAACCCTAAACCCTAAACCCTAAACCTTTAAACCCTAAACCCTAAACCCTAAACCTGAAACCGTGACGTAAGTACACGGGACTCTTGGATACCTTTCTTCATAGAGACCGGGCTTCGAGCCGGCGATGGATACGCGGCTCAAAGGGACGAAAGAAGAAGACGCTGGTCCATCGCCCACCGTGGAGTGATATAGGGGCCTGAATAATTAGAATAGGGTTTTGGGGGGGGGTTATTAGAGTATACTTATAAAGGGAAAATAAGGGAATACTACTAGTAATGATTCCGACCCCTATAATTATTATCTGGAGAGTTTGCGGGCTTTGGGGGACTTTTTGGAGGGAGAGGGAGGGGAGGCGGGGGAATGGGCGAGTTTGGGACTTTTGGGATTTGGGGGGAGAGTTTTGGGGGGTTTGGGGCCTTGGGGTCAAAGGTTTGGGGTTTGGAGTCAAGCTGGCGACCTGCTTAATCTACCCTCCAGTCCCAGCTTTGCCAGCTCCCTGAACTGTAAACCCTAAACCCGAAACCCTAAACACTAAACCCTAAAACCCTAAAACCCTAAAACCCTAAAACCCTAAAACCCGAAAACCCTAAAACCCTAAAACCCTAAAACCCTAAATCCTAAAACCTTAAACCCGAAGCCCTGAGCCCTAAAACCTAAAACCTTAAACCCGAAGCCCTGAGCCCTAACACCTAAAACCCTAGAACCCTAAACCCTACAACCCAAAAACCCTAAAACCTAAACCCTAAACCCTAACACCCTAAAACCCTAAGACCTAAAGGTGCCAAACTCATCTGCGCGAACGGCCAAGCACTGCCAAGCCTGCTTTTCACGTGCCGAAAAACAAGGCGAGAGTGCGTGAGCACGCGAACGATGCACGTAGTGAAACTGGCTCATCTGGCTGCACATTCGTACCTGGGTTGGGGGTTTAGGATTTAGGGTTTAGTGTTTAGGGTTTAGGGTGTGGGGTTTGGGGGTTTAGGGTTTACGGCTTAGGGTTTAGGGTTTAGGGTTAGGCTGAAGCCAGGATGGCTTTGGCTTTAGCTCCATCAACATACACTTGGGGGCTTCGGGCCTGCAGAAGTTTACGGTCATAGGGCCCCCCCAAGCCTCCTTCTAAGACCCAAAGTATGTGGTGGGGGGTGGGGGGGGCAGAGGGAAAACCCTTTGGGGAGATGTTTTGGGGGGGGGCTTCATGGCATGGAGGTTGGGCCTTGATGACATGGCGTGAGAAAAATATAGTACCCATTTTTGTTCACCCACAAAAACTAGGACGGCCCTTAAAGCCCTCTGAAAAATGGGTCATGCAGACCGACAAGGATTCAGACCTCAAAACAGCGGCTAAGCTCTTGGGCACGAAGGCAATCCCCAAACCCGAAACCCCTGAACCTCGAGCTACACCAACTCAGCTAGGCTAGTCAGGAGTCCTCAACGCTCTTGTGTGTGTGGGGGGGAGGGGGAGGGGCGACGGGGTCGCTTGTTTTGTCAGGTCCAGAAAGTAGTGTTGAATCATCGGAGAAGGCCCAAAAGGCAGCTTGCCAATTACAAAGCCCCAGAACACTCAACTAGGGTTCAGGGCTTGGGGTTCTTGAAGGTCTGGGGTTTCAGCGCCAAACCCTAAACCCTACACCCTGAACCAAAACCCAGCCTGAGACCCTAAACCCTCCCAACCCTAAACCCTAAACCCTAAACCCCAAACTCCTAAACCCTAAACCCCAAACTCCTAAACGGGTGGAGTTTTTTTTTGGGTCTTTTTTTTTTTTTTTTGGCCATTTTTTTTTTGGTCGATTTCCTTGGTTTTCTCTAGGAAAAACCCTACTTTCCTTACATTTTGGACGGATTTTCTGTCATTTCCCTGAGGTTTTCGTTGGTTTTTCATAGGGAAAAACCTATTTTTTTACATTTTGGACGGATTTCCTGTAATTTCCCTTAGGTTGAAGCACGCTCTGCACGGCTTAAAAAAAGCGGGGGGGTTGGGGGGGGCGCAGCCCCCCCATTTGCAAACACAATGCACACACGATGTTTTTCAACTAGTTTCTTGGGCTTTGAAGCACGCTTGGTACAGCTTAAAAGAAGCGGGGGGGTTGGGGGGGGCGCAGCCCCCCCCATTTGCAATGCTCACACGATGTTTTTCAACTAGTTTCTTGGGTTGGGAAGCACGCTTGGTACGGCTTAAAAGAAGCAGGGGGGGTTGGGGGGGGGCGCAGCCACCCCCCATTTGCAAACACCCTGCTCACATGATGGGTGTCAACAAGTTTCTTGGGCTTTGAAGCGCGCTCTGCACGGCTTAAAAAACAAAAAAAAGCGGGGGGGTTGGGGGGGGCGCAGCCCCCCCCATTTGCAAACACAATGCTCACACGATGCTTTTCAACTAGTTTCTTGGGCTTTGAAGCAAGCTTGGTACGACTTAAATGAAGCGGGGGGGGGGTTGGGGGAAAACACAGCCCCCCCTCATTGGCAAACACCCTGCTCACATGACGGGTGTCAACAAGTTTCTTGGGCTTTGAAGCACGCTCTGCACGGCTTGAAAAAAACGAGGTTTTCGTTCGTTTTTCCTAAGGAAACCCTCTTCTGATTACATTTTGGACGGATTTCGTCAAACGTCAAAGCGTACGTTGCTTTTCCTTAGTTTGTCCTAGGGAAAACCCTATTTGGTTCGTTTTCTTGGTTTCTATCATTCCCTCTATATTTTCATCGGATTCATACTTTTTTTTCAACTAGTTTCTCGGGCTTTGAAGCACGCTTGGTACGGCTTAACAGAAGCGGGGGGGGGTTGGGGGGGCGCAGCCCCCCCCCCCCATTTGCAAACACCCTGCTCACATGATGGGTGTCAACAAATTTCTTGGGCTTTGAAGCACGCTCTGCACGGCTTAAAAAAAGCGGGGGGGTTGGGGGGGGCGCAGCCCCCCCCCATTTGCAAACACAATGCACACACGATGTTTTTCAACTAGTTTCTTGGGCTTTGAAGCACGCTTGGTACAGCTTAAAAGAAGCGGGGGGGTTGGGGGGGCGCAGCCCCCCCCATTTGCAATGCTCACACGATGTTTTTCAACTAGTTTCTTGCACGCTTGGTACGGCTTAAAAGAAGCGGGGGGGTTGGGGGGGGGCGCAGCCCCCCCCCATTTGCAAACACCCTGCTCACATGATGGGTGTCAACAAGTTTCTTGGGCTTTGAACGCGCTCTGCACGGCTTAAAAAAAAAGCGGGGGGGTTGGGGGGGGCGCAGCCCCCCCATTTGCAAACACAATGCTCACACGATGTTTTTCAACTAGTTTCTTGGGCTTTGAAGCACGCTTGGTACGGCTTAAAAGAAGCGGGGGGGGTTGGGGGGGGCGCAGCCCCCCCCCATTTGCAAACACCATGCTCACATGATGGGTGTCAACAAGTTTCTTGGGCTTTGAAGCACGCTCTGCACAGCTTAAAAAAAGCGGGGGGCGCCAGCCCCCCCCCCCAATTTGCAAACACAATGCTCACACGATGTTTTTCAACTAGTTTCTTGGGCTTTGAAGCACGCTTGGTACGGCTTAAAAGAAGCGGGGGGGGGGTTGGGGGGGGGTTGGGCCCCCCCCCCCATTTGCAAACACCCTGCTCACATGATCATGGGCGTTTCAACAATACAATTCCGCCGTACCGCACCGAACCGTTACCGCACCGCACCGAACCGTGCAGGAAGCTTACCGTACCGCACCGAACCGTGCAGGAAGCTTACCGTACTGCACCGAACCGTACAGGAAAGTATACAACCCACCCTCACCCTCCACCGCAGCCTCCAGCCACCAACCCCTCCGCCACTCTGGCCACCCAGCCACTCCAGCCACCCACCCTCCAGCCACCCACGCCCGCCTCCAGCCACCCACCCAGCCCCCCCCACCGCCAACCACCCACCCTCCACCCTCCGCCACCAGCCTTCAGCCACCCCTCCAGCCACCCACCCTCCACCCACCCCTCGAAGCCTCCAACCACCCACCCCTCCAGCCACCCACCCTCCAGCCACCAGCCTCCAGCCACCGACCCCTCCAGCGGTGCCTGAAGGAGTGTGACTCCAACTGGAAGAACGCCGAAGCCCAACCCGGCCTACTCCAGCAGCTCATTGATGAGGAGATCGCCCAGGGTTGGGTAGCAGAAGTCCACGGCCGCCGCACGCCTACGTTGGCCCAAAGGCATAGCCATCGGCAAGCTCAACGTGGTGCAGGCCGAGGGCAAGGATCCCAGAATGGTCCTAGACAGCTCAGTTTGCAATGTAAACCCACTTTGCACATTGCCTGAACGCGTCTGCTTGCCCACATCTGCAGACGTCAGGGCCTCCTTCAAGCCCAAAGACCCCAAATACGCCTCCCAAGGAGCCGCCCTAGACTTCAAAGCCGCCCATAAACGAGTCAAAGTCAAGCCCTCAGACCAAGGCCTATTGCTTTTCAGACACGCCGGACGCCTCTTCGCCTACGTTGTGTGCCATTTTGGCGCACGCTTCAGCCCACCCTCCAGCCACCAGCCTCCAGCCACCCACCCTCGATGGGTGGCTGCAAAGGTGGCGGAGGCTGGTGGCTGGATGGTGGGTGGCTGGAGGGGTGCGTGGCTGGAGGGGTGGGTGGCTGGAGGCTGGTGGGTGGCTGGAGGGGTGGGTGGCTGGAGAGTCGACACCACGTTCGTCCACTTAAAGGGGCGAATTCACGCGCTACATTCTATTTCGCTTGTAATATAGCCCCTTTAATGTTCTCTTCACACTTCGTTCAGTCGCTACACTAATTTCGTGCTTCCATTTCATTTCATTCATTTCATTACAAATTAGTACGCTCTTTCTCTTCGTTCAACCATTCACTCCCCTTAATAGTATTTTGGGAGCAAAGTGGGGCCCTTTTTCCACTATTAATAAATGGGGAAAAAGCGCACACGAAGCCCCTCAAAATTAGCCCAATAATAATATTGTATTACGGGCGCCCTTTAAAGTCAATGAATATATGCGCCCGTCCTAATATTATTCACTCATGCCGTCTTGCTGCCCAGGTTTTGGATTCATCACCCAGTTCTTTCTAGCGGTTACAAATGATTTCCTCTTCCAAAATCCTGTCTCAAAGTTAAGGTTGTAGATAGAGAGTTCCTGTCCTCTTTTCCCCAGTAAATGCACTATATAAAAGTACTCATTATAAGCTTGCGCATGAATAGTGCTGTTATGTAGTAAACTACAATTAAAAGGGGGCTTGTGGCTCGTCAATCAATATCTTGTTACGGGCTAGTGACCCACAGTTTTAGTACCATTTCCAAGAGTCATTAACTATAGTATTTGGGGGTGTGAAGAGATTAATTTTTTGAGGCTTTATAATGAGCCCCGTGAAGCATGAAAGCCGCAATAAAATTATGAACGAAACAAAAACCCCAAATAAAAGGACGAAATGAGGATGGTTTTTTTCACTAAAAGCCCCATTGAACGAGATTATAATGTAATGGCTGAGAAGAAACCGCTATACTATAATATTCTTAGGGGCTTTTATAAAGATTTCCAAAATTCCAAAAAATCCAAATGAAACCGTTCCTGCGTTTCATTCATTTCGTAATCTTATTTATTGCTCACGCTTTTAATAAGTCCACCAAAATACGCGAAGTGAAAGATTGCCCCTTTAAAATACTGGAATTGGTTCAGTTCATCTTTCTCGCGGTCATGTGATGGATTATAATTCTATGTGATGTAACCGCCAGATAAAAAGGAAGCATGAAGACGGCATCATGTCTAGGGTTTTTCTCTCATCCTTTGTTTCCGGGTGGCTGGAGGCTGGTGGCTGGAGGGGTGGGTGGCTGGAGGGGTGGGTGGCTGGAGGCTGTTGGCTGGAGGCTGGTGGGTGGGTGGCTGGAGGGGTGGAGGGGTGGGTGGCTGGAGGCTGGTGGCTGGAGGGGGGGTGGTTGGAGAGGTGGGTGGTGGCTGGAGGGGAGGTGGGTGGTTGGAGGGGTTGGTGGCTGGAGGCTGCAAGGTGGGTGGGTGGGTGGCTGGAGTGGTCGGGTGTGGGTGGCTGTGGAGGTTGGTGGCTGGAGGTTGGTGGCTGGGGCGGTGGCTGGAGGGTGAGTGGCTGGAGGCTAGAGGCAGGTCAGGTGGCTGGAACCGCATTACCGTACCGAACCGGACCGTGCCGTGCAGTACCGAACCGGACCGTGCCGAAAGCCAGCAATACCATACAATACATACCGCAGCATACCGCAGTAAAGCAATACCGTACCGTACCGATATTAAACAGCCATGATGATGGGTGTCAACAAGTTTCTTGGGCTTTGAAGCACGCACGCTCTGCACGGCTTAAAAAAAAACAAAAAAGCGGGGGGGTTGGGGGGGGCGCAGCCCCCCCCATTTGCAAACACAATGCTCACACGATGTTTTTCAACTAGTTTCTTGGGCTTCGAAGCACGCTTCCTTTCTTCCTTCCTTGCTTCCTTCCTTTCTTCCTTCCTTTCTTCCTTCCTTGTTTCCTTCCTTTCTTCCTTCCCTCCTTTCTTCCTTCCTTCCTTCCTTCCTTCCTTGTTTTCTTCCTTTCTTTCATCCTTCCTTCCTTCCTTTCTTTCCTTCTTTCCTTCTAAAACGTACCAGAAATAACGCTTTCCTATGAAACCACAGAGAAATTACTGTTTTTCGTACCAAAAACCACGAAAATGCATCAAATCCTTTAAAAATATGGAGGGAATGGTGGTTTTCTTAGGAAAAACCAAGAAAATCGACCAAAAAAAAAAAAAAAAAAAAAAAAAAAAAGACCCAAAAAAATAGGCCCTCCCTCCTAAACCCCAAACCCTAAACCCTAAACCCTGAACCCTAAAGATGGCAAGAAGATGCAGCCGAATGGAGGCGGAGTGAACCCCAAACCCTAAACCCTAAACCCCAAACCCTCAACCCTAAACTCTGCAGTCTAGGGCGCCGGCTTCACCGCCAGACGGCCGTGAACTTGGCCTCCTTCTCCTCCTCGGGCCAGGCCTGCGTCCGGTTCGTCCTGGTGACAGGGCTTCGGGTTTAGGGTTTAGGGTTTAGGGTTTAGGGTTTAGGGTTTAGGGTTTGGGGTTTAGGGTTTAGGGTTTAGGGTTTAGGGTTTAGGGTTTAGGGTTTAGGGTTTAGGGTTTAGGGTTCAGGGTTTGGGGTGTAGGGTTCAGGGTTTAGGGTTTAGGGTTTAGGGCTTAGGGTTTAGGGTTTAGGGTTTAGGGGTTATGGTTTAGGGTTTCGGGTTTGGGGTGTAGGGTTTAGGGTTTAGGCTGGGAACCATGCGTTCGGGGGGGGGGGGGGGTAATATAGGGTCGGAATAAGGGTTTAGGGTTTAGGGTTTAGGGTTTAGGGCTTAGGGTTTAGGGTTTAGGGTTTAGGGTTTAGGGTTTAGGGTTTAGGGTTTAGGGTTTTGGGGGTTGTTATAGTATAACCATTCAGAGACCATAAGGGAATACTATTGGGGGATGTGGGGTTTCGGGGGGTTTTTCGGGATCCGAAGAGGTAGGGATGAACTAGTTCATGGCTGGGATGGCATTTAAAAAAAAATCAAACTGTGCCCTAAACCCTAAACCCTAAACCCTAAACCCTAAACCCTAAACCCTAAACCCTAAACCCTACACTGTTAGTCCTCAAGCATATGCTGCAAGGCCGTAAGTCGGGATCATGAGAGACTTGGTAGCACAGTAACCATCTTGTGATGAGGGTACCCTGTTGGGTTGGTTGCTTGAAAAGGGAACCTAGATAAACAGAAACTAAACCCTAAGCCTTGTTTGGCAACTCAACCCCTAAAAAACCCTAAACCCCAAAACGCCAAAACCCCAAGACCCTAACCCCAAAGCGCTTGACCCCAAAAACCTAAACCCCAAAACCCTAAACCGCCAACCGAAAACCCTGAACCCTGAACCCTAAACCCTAAACCCTAAGCCCTAAACCCTAAACCCTAAACCCTAAACCAAAAGGACTTTCTCCCCACCTGGGGCTTCGCTCCGGGAAGGCGGTCTTCGTCCGCGGGGCCACTGGCGAGGCGTTGGAGCGAGAGAGGTCGACCTCCCGAGGTTAGAGCTTATAGGGGTTTAAGGGTTTTTTAAAAGAGCTTATAGGGGTTTAAGGGTTTTAAGGGTTTTTTAAAAGAGCTTATAGGGGTTTAAGGGGTTTTAACGGTCTTTTGTTAAGGGTTTCTAGGGTTTAAGGGGTTTTAACGGTTTTTTTACGGGGTTTGCAGGGTTTTTAGGGTGTTGAAGGTTTGTTGTTTTGGGCTTTGTAGGGTTTTTAGGGTGTCTAGGGTTTTCAGGGCTTATAGGGTTTATAGGGTTTATAGTGTTTATTGGGTTTGTAGGGTTTATAGGGTTTATAGTGTTTGTAGGGTTTGTAGGGTTTGCAGGGTTTGCAGGGTTTATAGGGTTTGTAGGGTTTGTGGGGGTTTATAGGGTTTGTAGGGTTCATAGGGTTTGTATGGTTTAGAGTTTGTAGGGTTTAGGGTTTTGGGTTTAGGCTGTTCAGTGGGCTTGTTTGTGGGCTCAAGAGCATTTGCGTTCGGGCCCCCTGTGGGGGGGGGGGGGCGGGGGGCGCGGGGGACTGTGGTATGCGGGTTTAGGGTTTAGGGTTTAGGGTCTAGGGTTTAGGGTTTGGGGTTTAGGGTTCAGGGGCCAGTCGGGTGCAGTCTCTTTCGGGCTCCTTTGGGGGCTTAGGGTTAGGGACTGAGGGTTTTGGGGCTTTGGGGTTTCGGGATCTCCGGACGTTGGGGGTTGATTCTCTCTCTCTCTCTTTTTTTTTTTTTTTTTGGGGGGGGGGGGGGCTTCGGAGCTCTCAGGGTTAAGGGCTTCAATCTTTGGGTTTCAGCAGACCACCGAAACGTCGATAATTTCGTGATACGCTGGGCTAAAGCGGCCATCTTGTCCTTGCCAACACCGCTTGGGGCGCTGCAGTAGCACGATACGCCGCGATGCTGTATGAGCACATTGAACCCACGTTGGGGGTCTGCAGCAGCTGCCATGAAGCTGCCGCCCAAGAGGATCGACCACTTCCTTGCCAGGTGGCTCTCATGGCCAACGTCTTTGGTCGGTGACCAACCAGAGGCATCAAGGGAGGCCCCTCAACCCTAAACCCTAAGCCCTAAACCCTAAACCCTAAACTCATTTGGCTGAGCCTGGAGCCTGGCTGTGTGGCCTTGCGGTGACGCTGCATGCGGGCCAGGACAAAGTTGGCTGGGAGGGTGGTGAACGAACCAACCCGCAAAAACAAAACACCCTCCAAACCACCCTAAACCCTCAACCCCAAAACCCCCTAAACCCCTAAACCCCAAAACCCCTAAAACCCCAAAACCCCTAAACCCCAAGCCCCCCTAAACCCCTAACACCCTAAACCCCTAAACCCTAAACCCTCAACCCCTAAACCCTCTTGGAACGCGCTGGAGACCTCCGAGGCGCTTCGCGTGAGGCCATCCGGCGGCAGCTTCCTCGGGCTCATCTAGGGGCCTTCATAATGAGGGTTTAGGGTTTAGGGTTTAGGGTTTAGGCTTTAGGGTTTAGGCTTTAGGGTTTTGGGATGTTTTGGGTTTAGGGTTTAGGGTTCGGGGTTTAGGGTTTCGGGTGCAGGGTCTAGGGTTTAGGCTTTGGCGTTCAGGGTTTCGGGTTTAGGGTTCGGGGTTTAGGGTTTCGGGTGCAGGGTCTAGGGTTTAGGGTTTGGCGTTCAGGGTTTCGGGTTTGGGGTTTAGGGTTTAGGGTTTTGGGTTTTGAGGGGGTCACTGTAGTAGAGTTATATAGGGACCATAACGGAATAATACTGTTCGCACTTCTTCCGAGCCCTTTGGGGTTCTAGAGGTTGGGGGGAGGAGGCTTAGGGGGTCGGGTCACCTTAGAACGGTGCTGAATCTCCCTAAACCCTAATTAAAACCTAAACCCTAAGCCCTAAACCCTAAACCCTAAACCCTACAGATCAGAGCCATGCAGCCAACCACGGAAGGATGTCTCCCGTCCACACTGTACACATCGAGGACCATTGGCGGGCGGCACGACATAACCTTGTTCCGGTGTCGGGTTTCGGGTTTAATTAGTGGTTCAGAGCATACGGCTTAGGGTTTAGGGTTTAGGGGTTTAGGGTTTAGGGGTTTGGGGGTTTGGGGGTTTAGGGTTTTAGGGTTTAGGGTTTCGGGTTTAGGGCTTAAGGTTTAGGGCTTAAGGGTTTAAAAAGTTTAGGGCCAAAAACCCAGGCCATGGACTCTAGACCCGCAGGCCACAGAACCCCAAACCCCCCCCCCTCCGAGCTCCAAACCCGAAAGCCCTCAAACTCTAAAGCCCTCTACGTTGGGATGTTCCCCTTATACTAACAGGCCTGAGTAGGGATTTGAGTACCCCCTACTATCATCCCTATGAAGGATTTTAGTATAGCGGAACATCCAACAATGTCTAAGGGTTTAGAACCTTGAAACCCTAGCACCCAAGCCTCGGCAAAACTCGACAATGACAAAAACCAGCCCCTAAACCCTAAACCCTAAACCCTAAACCCAAAACCCTAAACCCTAAACCCTAAACCCTATAAGCCCTAAACCCTAAAGCCTATACCCTATAAACCCTAAACCCTAGTCTGTTGTGCCCCCGCAGCTGCGCTGCTTCCGGCGGTCGAGGGCTCTCCTCCAAACCGCGGTTAATCTTTCCAAGCTTGGGGAGTTAGGGTTCACGGTTTAGGATGTAGGGTTTAGGGTTTAGGATGTAGGGTTTCATTAAGGGATGGGGTTCACAGTTTAGGGCTTCGCGTGGTGGATTTATGGCTCAAGATGTAGTGCTCTGACTTGGAGGGTTTAGGGTTTAGGGTTCAGGGTTTAGGGTTTAGGGCTTAGGGCTTAGGGCTTAGGGTTTAGGGTTTAGGGTTTAGGGTTTAGGGTTTAGGGTTTAGGGTTTAGGGTTTAGGGTTTAGGGTTTAGGGTTTAGGGTTTAGGGTTTAGGGTTTAGGGTTTAGGGTTTAGGGTTTAGGGTTTAGGGTTTAGGGCTTACTTAGGCCTACTGTGGGGTCTGAAGCCTACGTTCCAGCTGCGGGTCCAAGCACCTCGGCTGCCTCTAGATGTAAGTTTTGGGCTTTGGGGTTTAGGGTTTAGGGTTTAGGGTTTAGGGTTTAGGGTTTAGGGTTTAGGGTTTAGGGTTTAGGGTTTAGGGTTTAAGGCCCGGGGCCCCAAAACGAAAAACCCCCGAAACCCCGAAGCTTAAGCCACACCCCTTCCCTTGGTTGTGACCACAAAGCATGGAGATTCTTAGGTTTCCGCCTTCTGCGACTGTGAATAGGAGGGGGGCGAACCCAGAAAGGTGAAGCTTGAAGGTTTCATTCAGGGCTGAGGGCTTCAAGGCTCAAAGTTTCACGCACACGGCCACCCTGCACCCAAACTCCACACCCCAAACCCCTAAACCGTGACCCCTAAACCCTAAACCCTAAACCCTAAACCCCAAACCCTAAACCCTAAACCCTAAACGTTGAGTCCGTTCAACCCACGGCCTTCTGCCCGGCCAGCCCTAAGCCCCCCTCACACCAGTCCTGGGTAGGGTTTAGGGTTTAGGGTTTAGGGTTTAGGGTTTGGGGTTTGGGGTTTGGGGTTTGGGGTTTGGGGTTTGGGGTTTGGGGTTTGGGGTTTAGGGTTTAGGGTTTAGGGTTTCTTAGGGGTTAAGTCCGCTCCGAGTGCTGACTCCTGCACCCTAAACCCTAAATCCTAAACCCTAAACTTTTGTCAGTCCCTAAACCTTAAACCCCCTAAACCCTAAACCTCTGGGTCCCTCCCTTTGTCCGCGCCCCCCCGCCCCCCTGAGAGAAAAAGAGCGCTTGAAAGCCGGTCCGGAGGTTCGTCTCGAGGTCCACGATCATGCCCTCGTTGGTTTTTTTTTTGGTTTTTGGGGGGTCTTGGGCTTAGGGTTTATAGGGGTTTTGGAGTTTTCTGGCTTTGGGGGTTTGGGGGTTCGGGGGTTTCAGGGTTCGGTTTCGGAGTTTAGGGGTTTGGGAGTTTAGGGGTTTAGGGTTTAGGGCTCTGGAAGCTTCAGTTTGGGACTTGAGGTTTGGGGTTTCGGGCTTTTGGGAGGTTTGGGGTATTGCCTGGGGCTGTGGGGATTGGGGATTTTCAGGGCAGGGCCCTAAGCACCTCAGCCCCGAAAGCCCTGAAGGCTCTCAAGCCCCACAACGTTCAAGGCTCAGGATTTCGGGCTTAGGGCAGCCCTCACCTAAACCCTCAACCCTAAGACCCTTAGACCCTAGACCCTAAACGTAAGACCCTAAGATCCTAAGAGCCTAAGACCGTAAGACCGTAAGACCGTAAGACCCTAAGACCCTAAGACCCTAAGACCCTAAGAACCTAAGACCCTAAGACCCTAAGACCCTAAAACCCTAAGACCCTAACACCCTACACCCTAAACCCCAAACCCCAAACCCTAAACCCTAAGACCCTAAGACTCCAAGACCCTACACCGAGCTCCTCCGGCCTTCAAGGCGTGAATGTGCTTGTCCTCGGCGATTTCCCGCTCCAGCACGGCGATGCGCTCGTCCTTCGCCTCGATTGTGCGACTCGTAGTAGTCATGATAAGCACAATAATGAGAATAACAGTGATGATGATAACAGTAATGATAACATTAGTAATAATAGTAGTATTCATTACTAGCAATGGTAACAAGAATATAACATGAAAAAAGATAACAAAATGAAGAATGATAGTCAGAAATGAGAATAAGAATGAAAACGATAAGAATAAGACAATAACAGTACTAGCAACAGTAAGAATTACGATAAGAAACAGTACTAGTTCTTGACATATGACTGATAGGCATAAACCATCGATGTGAACAATAGTAATTGTAAGAAGAATCATGCATTTGATATGAAGTAGGGTATATATTTCTTGTACCCCCAAAAGGACACCAGGTATATACACTCACCAATATTAAAAAGGAACCTTATATACACTCACCAAAAACAGAAATATAAACCCTGCTTCATATCATTTGATGTGGGTTCACGGTTTCGGGCCTCAGTGGTTTCGGGCAGGGGAATGCACACCTTCGGCTCGGAGTGTGAACCCTAAACCCTAAACCCTAAACCCTAAACCCTAAACCCTAAACCCTAAACCCTTGGGTCCCGCCGTCTCCGGCTTTGCGCCGTGGTGCTAAGGCCCTCGTGGCTTCCAGGGCGTAGCGTTGAAAGCTTGTAAGGTGAGGGTTTGAGGGTTTAGGGCTTCGGGGTTAGGGTTGATGGTCGGCTGCACAGGAGTGGTGCGATTCGACTGGGAAACTCCAGTGACGCGCTACTTTCCGAATGTTGGACGCCTGACGTCCGAAACCTGGGCCCTCCCTACGACACCTTGAGACTGAATCTTGCCCTAAACCCTACCCCCTAAACCCTAAACCCGAAACCCTAAACCCTAAACCCTAAGCTTGAAAACGAAATGAGCACTAGCGCAACCTTGCACCCCCAGGCTCTGATCCATGCGCATCCCTAAAGCAAGGGCACCCTAAACCCCCTCCGTAAACTTCTCAAACCCCAAGCTTAGATTTAAGCAAAGATTTCAGAGTATGAGCCCACCAAATGAAGGCAACAACTAGCGAAAACCGCTCTTAACCCTTAAACCTTACAGCCCAAACCGCCGAAAAAAACAATATGAAAGCCCTAGAACTCCCTAAAACAAGGGCGCCCTGAACCCCCTCCGTAAACTTCGCAAGAAAACAAAATGAAACCCCTAAACCCTAAACCCTAAACCCTAAACTAGAAATCCAGAAGCCCCTCAGGCCCTGGCCTCGTTCTCGAGGTGGCGCAGCCGCTGGAGCATGTCAAGCTCCTCTGCAGGGTGTTCTGACCCGAGGGCTTCGGGTTCAGGGATTGGGGCTTAGGGCTTTGGGTTTAGGGCTTTGGGTTTGGGGCTTAGGGCTTTGGGTTTGGGGCTCAGGGCTTTGGGTTTAGGGCTTTGGGTTTAGGGCTTTGGGTTTAGGGCTTTGGGTTTAGGGCTTTGGGTTTAGGGCTTTGGGTTTGGGGCTTAGGGCTTTGGGTTTAGGGCTTTGGGTTTGGGGCTTAGGGCTTTGGGTTTTAGGGCTTTGGGTTTAGGGCTTTGGGTTTGGGGCTTTGGGTTTAGGGCTTTGGGTTTGGGGCTTTGGGTTTAGGGCTTTGGGTTTGGGGCTTAGGGCTTTGGGTTTAGGGCTTTGGGTTTAGGGCTTTGGGTTTGGGGCTTAGGGCTTTGGGCTCAGGGCTTATGGCTTAGGGCTGAGGGCTAAGGGCTTAGGTATTCACATTGGGCAAGGAGAGTTTCGAGGACAATGTGGGTAGCCAGGCTGCGACTGGCTTGAAGATGTTGAGGGGTTTGGTAAAGTAATGCAAATGTGGGCGGAGTTGGCGGCTTGGCGGAAGACCGGAGGGCTTTAGGGCTTTGGGTTTTTGGGGTTCACGTGTTCAGGTTAGGTGAAACATTCTGAAGATACCTGAAGCCCTTGTGGGGGGAGGGGGGATTCTTTAGGGGAGCTTTTTGGGGGGCCCACAAAGCACTGTGCAAAGGCCCAACGCCTATACGCCAACCCCCGAAACCCTAAACCCCAAACCCTACACCCCGAACCACAAACCCTAAACCCCAAACCCTAAACCCCAAACCCTAAATCCCAAACCCCAAAACCCTAAACCCTAAACCCTGATCCACAAACCCCACCTACGGCCTCTCGGGCTCTCAGTCCCCACGCGCTCCTGCGCGCGCTGCAACCGCAGCTGGTCGACCAAGGCTGCAAACCTGACACTTGGGGGTTTAGGGTTTACGGTTTAGGGCTTCGGGTTTAGGGTTTAGGGTTTAGGGTGTAGGGTGTAGGGTTTAGGGTTTAGAGTTTGGGGCTCTAGGGCTCCGGGTTTGGGGTCGAGAGGTTGACACTAGGGGGTTTGGGCTTTGCAGTTTGGGGCTTGGGGCTTGGGGAAGGTGTGGGCTTCCTTCTGGGGTTTCAGGTTTAGTTTAGGTTTAGGGTTTAGGGTTTAGGGTTTAGGGTTTAGGGTTTAGGGTTTAGGGTTTAGGGTTTAGGGTTTAGGGTTTAGGGTTTAGGGTTTAGGGTTTAGGGTTTAGGGTTTAGGGTTTAGGGTTTAGGGTTCTTCAGGGTTTTGGAGCCTTGGCTCTGGGGTGTTCGAGGATTTCCCTAAACCCTAAACCCTAAACCCTAAACCCTAGGCCCCAAGCCCTAAACCCTAAACTCTAAGTTCGGGTCTAGGATGCAGATGCTGGCCGCAGAAGGGGAGCTCTGAGAGCTGGGCGCGTCATTTCTGGCAAGCCACTGCGGTCAGCATGTTCGGTTCCTACACTGAACTCTACTTCACCCTAAGCCCAAGTGAAACCAAGAACACCTCAACGTCGAATGGGGGTCCCATCTCATGTAGTTCCAGCAGTACTCTGGATCCTCATTTGCGTGATGCCGTCCTCGCACCTGTGGGGTTGCAAGAGTAATGATCCCTGAGCCGGAGGAGACCTCACGCGCTAAGTTCTGGTAGTCTAGAGCATTCAGTCTTGCATTGAGTTCATGCAGCAGGGCCAGCAAAGAGAACCGAGCACACTGGTAGTTCTTGAGCCGCTATGGTGCGATCCTGTCGCCACTTCTGTTGGATGGTCGTCAGTGCTGGCACGATGCTGTTGGACTGCTGCACCGAAGCGTAGAAGATCCATGGGGGGGGGGTTGTTGGTCAGGGTTCTGAAATGAGTTCCCTCTTCCAGGTAGCCAGAATCACTGGAGTCCTTATTATGCACACGCCTCTAACCCCTGACCCCCAAACCCCAAACCCCAAAGCCCAAACCCCAAATCCCAAACCCAAAAAGTGAAGCCTCAACCCTAAAGCCCCTCAAAAGCAAGAAATAAAACCCTTCTACTTCTATGCCCGAAACCCCAATTTCAGCACCGCCCCTCGCCCCCACCCCCCCAAGAAAAACATGTAAATAAATATGTTCAGGGTTCGGGCTTGAGGTTCAGTGTTTTTCTAGTTTAGGTTTTACGGTTTAGGGACACACACAGAAGCATAGACCTGCGCTCACACTACATCAAAATACATTACAACCACCCTGCCAATAGATACATGGCTAAGGGTTTGGATTTGGGGGGATTAGAACCCTAAACCCTAAAATCCTAAATTCTAAACCCTAAACCCTAAACCCTAAACCCTAAACCCTAAACCCTAAACCCTAAACCCTAAACCCTAAACCCTAAACCCTAAACCCTAAACCCTAAACCCTGAACTGAAAGTAGAATCCAAGCTCCCAGCTGCTTCGCACTGGCAGCAACCAGCTCCCTTCCTTGCATGGGCTCTTGGGGAAAGGGGTGCAGAGGGTGTAGGGATTAGGGTCGAAGGTGGAAGGCTAGGGCTTTAGGGTTTAGGGTTTAGGGGTTTAGGGGTTTAGGGTTTAGGGTTTAGGGTTTAGGGTCTGGGGTTTAGGGTTTAGGGTTTAGGGTTTAGGGTTTAGGGTTTGGGGTTTGGGGTTTGGGGTTTAGGGTTTAGGGTATTGGGCTTAAACAAGCCTACACAAGCCTCCTGAAGTCTCTGCTGCACCTCCCAACGCGAACCGCTCGACCCATCTGCGGTCGGGCGGCGGACGATGTCGCCCTGCATCTGCTCCTTCACCACGTCCATCCTCCGGAGGGGCTTTGGGGGTTTTAGGTTTACTGTTTTAGGGCTTAGACAGTTCGGGTTTGTTGGGGTTCTGGGTTTCAGGGTTTCGGGTTTGAGGGAGGGCTTTCGGGGTGCCAGGGCAACCCCAAACCCTAAACCCTACATCCTTTGCTTTGCTTGCCTGAGTTGGTCCATGAAGTCCATCAAGGGCACCATCTGGCCTCGGGCACCAGGGGTTTCAGGTTTGGGGAGCCTATACCCAAGAAAACGTGGGTTTAGGGTTTAGGGTTTAGGGTTTAGGGTTTAGGGTTTAGGGTTTAGGGTTTAGGGTTTAGGGTTTAGGGTTTAGGGTTTAGGGTTTAGGGTTTAGGGTTTAGGGTTTAGGGTTTACCCGGGTTTAGGGTTTAGGGTTTAGGGCTTAGGGTCTAGGGTCTAGGGTCTAGGGCTCAGGGTTCCGTAGCCGCGAGAATGCCAGGCCTACAGCGCAAAGTTGTCCCGGACCCTGAGCCCTACTTAGAGATTCGGGGTGCTTAGTAACCCATTATAAGTGTAGTTATAGCCCACATACAAGCCTCTTAAGTACCCCAACAGGGTTATTGTTGGGTGAGAAGTACAATTATCATTGGGTTACTAAGTACCATGACCTCAACGCCAGCCTCGACCCCAAGCAGGAGTTCGTGGGAGACGAATTGCGGGTTTACGAACATAAGGGGCCCCTGACAGAGACCCCCAAATAGTAGGAGGTTATCCGGCTTTCCTTGCGTCCCTGAACCAGCCATCTTCTTAGGAGCGTGAGTCTTCTTCTTGGAGGTGTTAATGCTGTGTTCACAGTCTCAAAGTGGGGCTCTGGGAGCCAGACGGCTATCACTCTCTTCGTGGCCACAACACCCATCACATTCCCGTATAATAAGGGCCCCAAAAAGGGCTCATTCTCCCCAAAATCGTAAAACCCCCAAAACTGGTTTGATGAATATGACGACAGCCCCAGACGAGCGTGAGAGCACCCAAGGTGTGGGAGAGATGTGGGAGACACGTGAGTGGCGACTTTTGGAGTAGCGCCGTGAGAAACCCAACGATAAGGAAAATAAACAAAAAAACTGTCTAAGCTGTTGCGTGCATGTAAACCTCACGGCATCCTTAAACGCCTCAAACATGCCGCTTGCACACCACTATCATCCACTACCTAGGGTTTAGTTGAGGGTCCAGGGCTTAGGCACTGAACCTTGAGGGCCTTACCCGCACCCCAGTTATGTGCGGGAGGGGTAACTAGGCCCTGGCCTTGGCAGCCTTGGCTGCCCAGACCAGTGTGTCCCCTATCTGGGCTCTTGTCAAGGAGCTTAGGCTACCAGAATAAGGGTATCACATTGTGTGCTAAAGAACCCCATGATTCTCTTGCTTGCTATACACCTCCTTTAGTGGCAAAATCATTTGATCTCAGGGGAACCCTGAACCCTAAACCCTGAACCCTAAACCCCATGAACCCTAAACCCTAAACCCAATTAACCCAATTAACCCAATCCTCACCTCACCCACAACCACCGAATGGGCCACGCAGCGGGATGTCCAGGTAAACTGCTGGTTGACGGCAGCCACAGTGGCCTGTGGTTTAGGGTTTAGGGTTTAGGGTTCAGGGTGCAGGTTGAGGGTTTACAGGCTTTGGCCTTACCGGGGGCACTGCTCAGGAACTCACAGTAAGACACCAGATTAAAGAGACCATGCTGCTGACAATAGAAGCCTAGTCTTGCAGCTGAAGCTAAACTTAATCGTCTACCCTTAACCCTAGACCCTAAACCCTAAACCCTAACCCTAAACCCCTAAACCCCTAAACCCCTAAACCCTAAACCCTAAACCTTAAACCCTAAACCCTAAACCCTAAACCCCTAAACTCCTAAACTCTAGCTTGGGGCAGCTTGGTCGTCCTGCTTCGCCCTCAACCCTGGCCCATTTAACCTCATACCTTGCCCCCTAAACCCCAAGCCCTCGACCGCTGCCCAAAACCCTCAGCGCTCTAGACCTTCCACCAGAAACCTGCGAGCAGATTTAGCCTTTTTGTTGTCGGACTTGTCTGAAAATCAGGGCTTAGGGTTTAGTGTTCAGGGCTAAGGGGTTGCGGCAGGTTTGCCGGCTGCGCTGCCTGACGCTTAGGGGGCTCGGGAGGGCCTTGCGAGGTCCAGCACCCGAACCATGAAGCTTTTGGGTTTGGGGGTTTTGAGGGTTGAGGGTTGAGGGTTGCGGGTCTAGGGGTTAGGGCTCAGAAGCAGCAATAAGTGGAATCCGCCACTACTACCCTAAAGACCAAATCCTACATCCTAGAGTTCGGAACACCATTTCTCAAGAGCCGTAAACTCGCTGAGAAAGCCCACAAACAAAGAGAGAGATGAGCCTAAACCCTAAACCCTAAACCTTGAACCCTAAACCCTAAACCCTAAATTCCCAACAAAGAGAGGTGAGCCCTGCCTTCTCCCGCTCCAGAGACTTCTCCAGACGCACCTCGGCCCTCATGGACTGCCAGAGCTCCCAGGCCCAGAGAACATACTCCAGCCGCCTGGGTCTGTTTTTTGGTTTAGGGTTTAGGGTTTAGGGTTTAGGGTCTAGGGTCTAGGGTCTAGGGTCTAGGGTTTAGGGTTTAGGGTTTAGGGTTTAGGGTTTAGGGTTTAGGGTTTGGGGTTTAGGGTTCAGGTTGGCCGGCAAGCGCATGCGTGTGTGCCCTGGCGGAACTCCTCGAGCTCATGAGCTGCGAAGGGGTTTCCGAGCCCCGAAAGGCGGCGAGCATCATGAGCATCAGCTGCGAAGGCCTTTCCAAGCCCACGAAAGGCCGCGAGCGTCATGAGCATCAGCTGCGAAGGCATTTGCGAGCCCCCGAAAGGCAGCGAGCATCATGAGCATCATCGGCGAAGCCCTTTTCAAAGCCCCTGAAAGGCGGCGAGCATCATGAGCATCAGTCGCGAAGCCCTTTGCAAAGCCCTGAAAGGCGGCAAGCATCATGAGCATCAGCTGCGAATGTGTTTCCGAACCCCCGAAAGGCGGCGAGCATCATGAGCATGAGCTGCGTGACTCTTGGGTCCTCCTGTAGGGTTTAGAGTTTGGGGTTTAGGGTTTGGGGTTTGGGGTTTCGGGTTTAGGGTTCTCCTGTTTGGCGGTGTGAACGGAGTCTTGGGTGCACAACAACGGACCATGATACAGAGGACTCGGATCCCAAAACCCTGAGCCATTGCCAAGCCAAGCAGCTCGTAGGGGCGCTGTTTGTGAAGCAGCCTGGGTTTGGGGTCGAGGGTTTCAGGCTTTGAGGGGCTTACCCTTGAAACCCTGAACTTCTTCTTAGGGGCCCCCCGAAGATTCAGACCAACTGAAAAAACTTTAAAGCCCCAGACCCTCTCTAGGGCTCCTTCCTATGCTTGCATATTGGTTTGCTCAGCGGCATGGGAGCCTAAACCATGAAAGCCTAAAACCGCAAGACACTTAACATCTCCGAACCATGGTACCCTAACAGACTAAACCCCGAACCATGAAACCCGAAAATCGCCACATCACCCTAAACTTGAGGAAACCTGTGTATACCCCTTATACTTCTATAGCCTCTGCAAACCCAAGGGCCCATACTTCAGAACTACGATTCTTCAAATGGACCCAATGTGGTTTAGGGTCTGGGGAGTAGGGCTTTGGGTTAGGCTTAGGGTTTAGAGGTTAGGGTTTAGAGGTTGGGGAGGGTAAGGTTGGGGGCTCTCGACCCAAAGACACCCTTCGCCGTCGTTCTACACACTCCGGGGCCTTTTTGCCAGTGCCCGGCGATCGAGCTTCAGGCGGTTGGCTTCCTGGCAGTGCCAAACCCTTCCGTAAACCCTAAACCCTAAACCCTAAGCCCTAGACCCTAGACCCTAAACCCTAAACCCTGGCCCCTAACCCCTAAGCCCTATAAGCCCTAAGCCCCAAGCCCTAAGCCCTTGGGCTGGCCCTGCTATGTAAACTGCAAACGAGGTTTGGGGTTCAGGGTTCAGGGTACTTCCTGGGGGCACGACAAGAGGAGTGCATCACAGCCTGAACCCACCACCACCCCTAAAGCCCAAACCCAAAAAGGGGCCCTAATCCCAAACGCGACCACTTCCCCCCCCCCCCCCGCCCCCCCAAACAAAACAACAAAATGCCTCGGCCAGGCGACGGGCAGAGGAATTGCAAAGCGAGTTCCTTGCAGCGGCGGGGGGGCGGGGGGCGAGGGGAGCTCCGCAGTGTGCAGATGGATTAACTCTGGTCACTGGGCTTGCTTGGGGCACAAAACCCTAAACCCTAAATCCTCAGGCCTACGGCCTGGGGTTTAGAGCTTAGGGTTTAGGGCTAGAGGGTTTCGGGCTCAAGGTGGCTCAAGGGCATCTGAACATTCCGCCACCGCCGAGAGGAAGCGGGGGCCTCACCCCACGCGATGCCCTAAACCCTCAACCCCAAACCCTAAACCCTAAACCCTAAACCCTTAAACCTTCAACCCAAACCCTAATGATGTGGGGGGCATGTGTTCAACTGCTCTGGTTTAGGCTTTGGGGTTGAGGGTTTGCGGTTCGGGCTTTTGGGCATTTGGGGGTGAGGGCCTTATCTTTATAGGGTCCTGCAAGGCACATACTACATGCCCTTGGGGGTTCGCAACATTAGGGGTACCTTATTGGGGTCCTTAGTATACGGGGATCCTACTGCTTAGGGGTCTTTGCTGGGGTCCCCTTTCTCTTCAACCTCCACTTAAATTTGGGCTTAGCAAAATACCTCGAAGCTCCGAACTCAGTCAAGGGCTTAGGGGCTTGGCGTTTTCTCTAGGGGGATATGTTTGAGGCTTGAGGAGGCGGGGGTTTCTAGGGTTCAAGGTTTAGGGTTTCGGCTGTAGGGTTTGGGGCTTGGGTGTAGGGTTTAGGACGGGGGGTTCGTATGCCAAGGCACTCGGAGACAAGGAAGCGAACTTCGTTCCGGAGAGCAAACTCAACGGAGTCCCGCATTTCTTCGAGCTCCTTGGGTGCGGATACGGCGAGGTCGAGCTCAATTATGGGCACGTAACTATGGGGCACCTTCTAGGTGTATGGTTTAAGGTATGTATGGAATACCACACGCAAACGACAGTTCCCTACGAGGTGTATAGGCAGCACTGGGAGCGCGAGGCTCGTACGAGCTGACCTGAATGCGAGTCCCACCTCCATGTTTGTATACATGGGGCTGATGTTTCTGCGCAGAACCGCTTGCATTGGCGCCGGGTCGAGGGATTCCGCAGTCTGCGGGCCACGTCTGCATGTTGAGCATGGGGTCCTAGAATACCCTAAACCCTAAACCCTAAACCCTCAGCCCTAAACCCTAAACCCTAAACCCTAAACCCTCAGCCCTAAACCCTAAACCCTAAACCCTAAACCCCCCCATGCAACCACGAGTTTATAGGGCTCAGGCCCTGTCTTCGGTGCCGTGGGACATGGCAGAGAGCCTCTTGCACAAAAAAAAATCTCGGGGGGCCTTAGTAACTAGAATAGGGCTTTAGGGCTTTAGGGCTTTGGGGCTTTGGGGTGGGGGGGGGGGGGGGAATTGTAGTAGAGTTTATAAAGGGACCAGAAGGGAAGACGATTCGTAACTATTCCGGCCCCTCTACAAACCCAACCGGCTGCGCTGGGGTCTGGGTAGAGCCCCGCAACAATCAAAGCGCGTCAGGACCACGCTGCGTTCAGAAGCCCGAACCTAGATCTACAGGGTTTTCGGGCCAAGCCCAAACCCGTAAACCTTAATCATCTGCAAAAAACGCAGCCCTGCTCACATTCTGGGATTCTGGGATTGCCGAGGCTCTCGTCGGATTCGTTCCTCCTTCTCCTGCTGGAGGACCGTCACGAAGCCCTGGAACCCGTAGAAGAGGTTTTCCTTCTTGTTTTGGAGAAGCAGCCTGCGCCACACAAAAGGGTTAAGGGTTAAGGGTTAAGGGTTTAGGGTTTGGGGTTTAGGGTTTAGGGTTTAGGGTTTAGGGTTTGGGGTTTAGGGTTTAGGGTTTAGGGTTTAGGGTTTAGGGTTTAGGGTTTAGGGTTTAGGGACCGCAAGCTGCTGGCAGGATCCCAAACCCGACTCCCTCAGCCCTTCCTGACTGGCCCCTGAGGAACTATATCACCTAGGATCCCCATGAGCCCCTGCAGGGTTCCACAGGAGGGAGTATGAGAACTTCCCCACTAAGAACCAAGAAGCTCAACTATACTAACTATACTAACTATACTAACTATACTAACTATACTAACTATACTAACTATACTAACTATACTAACTATACTAACTATACTAACTATACTAACTATACAAACTATACTAACTATACTAACTATACTAACTATACTAACTATACTAACTATACTTCCCTGGAGCCGGAATGTATCTTCTTCACTGTCCCTGCCTGTTGATGCCCTAAACCCTTAAAAAAAACGGAAGTCTTGAGGAGACTAGCGCAATGTCCCGGCCTATCCCTCATCAGGTGCGTGCCCTTGTAGATCATGAGCTTCCGCGCCCGGTTGTGGCGGGCGTAGAGGTCGTTCTGAGAATGGCCGGGCAGTCTTGTTAGGGCCTAGGGTTTAGGGCTTGGGGTTTCCGGTTTGGGGTTTAGGGTTTAGGGTTTTCGGGTTTTAGGGTTTTAGGGTTTCAGGGTTTAGGGTTTAGGGTTTAGGATTTTAGGGGTTTGCAAGTGGGAGGTTCGAGGAAGGGTGTTCAGCTCGACCGGGTACACAGCTGTGCCTGTTACGCCCTAACCCCGAAGCCCTGCACCCTGAAGCCTTGAATCCTTAGACAAAGAAGTCCTACCCTACGTCACCCTACTGAACCCTAAACCCCTAAACCCCTAAACCCCTAAACCCCTAAACCCTAAACCCTCAACCCGAAACCCTAGCCCTAAGCCCTAAACCCTAAACCCGACTCAGGTTAAGGGGATGTTAGGGGATGTTGAAGTCTTGGGGGTCGGGGATGCTTAGGGGCCTCGAGCAGGGCTTAGGGTTTAGGGTTTAGGGTTAGGGTTTAGGGTTTAGGGTTTGGGGTTTGGGGTTTGGGGTTTGGGGTTTAGGGTTTAGGGTTTAGGGTTTAGGGTTTAGGGTTTAGGGTTTAGGGTTTAGGGTTTAGGGTTTAGGGTTTAGGGTTTAGGGTTTAGGGTTTAGGGTGGAGGGTTTAGGGTTTAGGGTTTAGGGTTTAGGGTTTAGGGTTTAGGGTTTAGGGTTTAGGGTTTAGGGTTTTAGGTTCCCCTAAACCCAAAACCCATGTAGGGACCTTTGCATGCCAGAAACCCCAGGCAGAACCTAACCCCCCCTAAACCTTTACGCCGTAAACCCCAAGCCTTCAACCCCAAAACCCGAAACCCGGCTTAGGGCTTTAGGGCTTTAGGGCTTTAGGGCTTTAGGGCTTTAGGGTTTAGGGTTTGGGGTTTAGGGTTTTGGGTTTAGGGAAGCCCTAATCCTACAACCTACTGGTCCTTAGCAGGGCATGAGCCTATCAACCCTTTGAGGGATTCTACTTGGGGATACCGCACTCCCTCATTCCCTACCAAGAACCCTTAGGCAAACTCCAAAACCCTGAACCCTGAACCCTGAACCCTGAACCCTAAACCCTAAACCCTAAACCCGAAACCCTAAACCCTAAACCCTAATGTAAGCACGCCCAGGAGCGTAGGCGGCCGCCAGCTTGCCTTCTCTTTCCAGGACCATCATCAGAGACCTGATACAGTAAACTAGGGGTTCAGGGTTTAGGGTTTTGGGGTTCAGGGTTTAGGGTTTAGGGTTTAGGGTTTTTGGGGTTTGGGGTTGAGGGTTGAGGGTTTAGGGGTTAAAAGTTGGAACATCCTTATCCCCGTACCCCAAGAGGGTATACGCAAGGGAATCCCAGCTCTAGTCATCCTTAAACCATGTTCCAACTTTCTGGAGTTTATTGTATAGCGGCCTTGATAGTTAGAATAGGTTTCTTGGGGCTTATATAGTATAAAAAAAAGTGCCATCAGGGAATACTGTCAGTAAATATTCCGACCCCTCCGTATATTACCCCCGGTTTTAGGGATTTCGGGTGCATAGGGTTTAGGGTTCGGGGTTGAGGGCACCCCATATCCTGTAGGGTCTAGGGCTTAGGGATTGGGGTTATATAGTGGGCTAAGAAGGCCCCCATCAGAACCCGAAACCCTACCGGGGGCTGTAAAGGCTTGGGGGGGGTTGCGGAGGTCTAGGATTTGGGACTGCAGTAGGGTTCGGGTGATAGGCCCCGAGTTCGGGGCACAGACCAAACAATAAAGTCTGCCATGACGATTGCCATTCTCAATGCTGCTGCTTTTGCTATTGCTAGTCAGTGCATCCAACGCCTCTAGACCCGAAAACCTAAACCCCATCCACCGACGGCTCGGGCTCCAAGTTCAGATGTGCGGCTTAAAAGCTTGGGCATTTTTCCGGGTTCAAGCGTTTAAGGGTTAAGGGTTAAGGGTTTAGGGTTTAGGGTTTAGGGTTTAGGGTTTAGGGTTTAGGCCTGCACCTCCCACCCGAAACGAGGTTTTCTGGCGGGCTCGTGGCATCCGGTGCTTCTTGTTGAGGGAGCGTGGGGGGGGGAGTGGCCTTCGAGATCAGTTTGCCTTCGGGGACTACTAAACCCTAAAGCCTTCCACCTTTCAACCCTACCCCCCTAAACCCTAAACCCTAAACCCCAAAGCCAAAAGCCTCCCACACATCCGGGAAGCCTTGTTGTCTCGTCCAGTCTCTGAATGGCTTCTTCGCCCTCGTCGCAGGCGCTTTGTGCTTGTGGGATTTCGGGTTGCGCGCGTAGCTAAAAAGTCTCAGACGCAATACTCAGTGCTGAACTCAAGAAAACTCTCAAGCCCCTGAACGCTTAAGGAGTTGTGTATTGTATTATATCTGCATAACTTGGTGTATCTATATAGGATGCGTAGCATATATAGTATATGGCATTTATATCATGTGTATTAACACATGTACATACATGTATGTATATGTGCATACATACAGACACTAGAATTAGTATATACAGGAAACAGCGTTTCCCTCTTTACAGTACATAAAGTATACACAGTATATACAGCATATGGAGTATATACAGTATGTACAGTATGTGCCGCATATACAGGAAACACCAGACCGTAATCCGGCTCTTTGTTGTTGTGGCTTTGGGTCTTCGGGAGCTGGCGGCTCTCCGGCCTGCATCTTTGATCTCTGCCAGTTCCCCCATCTGTCCTGCACAGGCACAATCGCGTTCCATGCTAAACCCACAAACCCTAAAGCCCTCTAAAAGTTAAATGCCGGTTTCCGAAATTAAGGGTACCTTGTTGGGTCTTTTGTATGAGGGAATCCTACTAATTATTTGGGGTCTTCTCTGGGGGACCCCTAGTTTCGTAAACCCCCAAATAAATCCCTGAATATCCCCCAAGCCAAGAAAAACATGAAACCCTGGGCCGTACTGACAAAGCTGCCTCAAGCGTGACCTGCTTGGAGATCCGGGACATATAGGAAAGCTCTTGGCTGCACTTAAGAGGGCAGCTAAAAATTAAATTTTTAGCTGCCTTTATTAAGAAACCCAATAAACCCAAAAAGGCTAAGGATCTAAAGTTACAGTAAAGCACCACAAAAAACCTATTCGTCCTTTCTATTGGTAGATATAGATATCTGTTCATCTCCCTCCCTCCCTCCCTCCCTCCCTCTCCCTCCCTGCCTCCCTCCCTCCCTCTCTCTCTCTCTCTCTCTCTCTCTCTCTCTCTCTCTCTTTGCCGGGAAGGGAAGGGCGGTCCCTTCCATAGAAGGTTTAACAAGAGAGCTCCCAGAAGGGAACTGGGAACTTGGGGGGACTTGCAGAAGGTTTGTCCGTCACCCCAACGTCTGTGAGTTCAGACGCTGAGATATCGGTATCGCATGTAGCATCCTCCCTTAGAAACACCCTAAACACCCTAAACCCTAAACCCTGAACCCTAAACCCCAGAGCCCTAAAACCCGCCCGAAACCCCCCACGGGACTGCACCAAGAATCAAGGGATGCTTGTCTGGCGCGGCTATTCTTACCCTAAACCCTAAACCCTAAACCCTAAACCCTAAAACCCTAAACCCTAAATCCTCTGTGTGTGTGTGTAGCTACAGTCAGGAACCGCCAAGCCAGAAGAAGCAGCACTAAGAGCTTATTTGGGTTTAGGGTTTAGGGTTTAGGGTCTAGGGTCTAGGGTTTACGGTTCAGGTTTTAGGGTTTAGGTAAGAATAACCGCAACAATCACAATGACGGCAACCTGGTAGCAGCCGATACTAATAATAACACTGGCTCGTAACAATACTGAAGCCAACAGCAACAACAGTGACAGTAATGATAACGATATCGAGAACGACAAGGATAAAGATAAGGATGCTGATAAGGATTCAGGTAACAACAACAATACCAACACCAGAAGCCATATCAATGATGATGACAGTGCGAATGATGATGATACTGATAGGGCTCGTAATAGCGATGACCATTATGACCATGGCAACGATATAATGGTTATGATAATGATACATAGCGACAGTGAGAAAAAACGGTAGTGGTACTGAGAATGGCGATAGCATTTAAAGTGACCATATGCTAACCACCCTGCCGGAGAAGTCAGCGGAAGCACAGCTAAACCAAGCCTGTGGAGTCTAAGAACACGAAGCAACAAAGAGTCCAGCGTCAAGTCATAAGCCCATGCCTAACGCGAACTTAGTTAATGTTCAGTGCTTTCTGATTTCACCTGACATGTGGTCCTTCACCCCTAAACCACTAACCCCCTTAAACCCCTAAACCCCCCCTAACCCCCCCCTAAACCCCCCCTAAACCCCGAAACCCTAAACCCCAAGCCGCATTGGCACTTGCAGAGTCTTAGTCTTGTGTTCGCTTCACTGAAACTAAGGAAGGCCCGTGGAGTGGTCAAGCAAACTTGACCTTAAAGGGTATAGGGGTTTACGGTTTTGGGGGGTTAGGGTTTAGGGTTTGGGGTTTACGGATTTGGGGTTTGGGGGTTTGGGGGTTTGGGGGTTTGGGGGTTTGGGGGTTTGGGGGTTTGGGGGTTTGGGGGTTTGGGGGTTTGGGGGTTTGGGGGTTTGGGGGTTTGGGGGTTTGGGGGTTTGGGGGTTTGGGGGTTTGGGGGTTTGGGGGTTTGTTTGGGGGTTTGGGGGTTTGGGGGTTTGGGGTTTAGGGTTTAGGGTTTAGGTTTTAGGGTTTAGGGCTTAGGGTTTAGGGTTTAGGGTTCAGGGCTTAGGGTTTAGGGTTTAGGGTTTAGGGTTTAGGGTTTAGGGTTTAGGATGGGTACCCCTACAAACCCCACACTCCCGGCGCCCGGAGTCCGAGCCGTGGCAGGTCGGTCCTCGCTTTCCTCCGTCTTCTGCTTGAGGCGCTTCTTGAGGTCGTTCACCTGGGAGGGTTTAGGGTTTAGGGTTTAGGGTTTAGGGTTTAGGGTTTAGGGTTTAGGGTTCAGGGTTCAGGGTTCAGGATTCGGGTTTGGGGTTCAGGGCTTAGGGCTGCTAAGGGATTCGTGGGTTTACTCCTTTCTAAAGTAAGGTATATTCCTTGCTTAAGGGGTATTGGGCTCTTTGGGTACAGGATTGGGAGGGATGTGACGGGTGCCTCGTGAGGTTGTTGACCTGGGAGAGGGTTCGGGTGTAGTTACATGGGTCCCTTAGTAGGGGGGCCCTTACATGGGACCCCTTACATACCCCTTACTAGGTTGCCCAGGAACCTAGGATGAAAAAGGGTGCCCTTCTTTGCTTAAAGGGGTTTATAAGGGAACCTAAGCCTACCAAAAAGGGAATAAGGGTACTACTGGGCATCCTAGCTTATATGTCCTTAAACAACCCAAGGGCCCATACTTCAGAACCGGAGGTAAGGCACCATGTCAAGGGCCCATGAAACTACCCGGACAACGGGCCCTGGGTTGCCGTGGAATTTCTTTGAAGGGAAAGATGCATTTTGACACGACTCTTGGAAAAAAACAGTCTTCAAAATGTGCCAAAAACTACTTGTTCTTTTTGCTTTTTGCCGTTGTACAAAGAGGCAAAGACGTTGCAAATAATTACCGGTGTTTTGGGCATCGACGCCAAAGGCACGAACGCTTGTGACAGCTGTGCTTGTTCCACATCCTTGTGCAGTATGTTGTTCACGAGGCAAAAACGCGGTAAATTCCAGTGCAATTGGGCATCGTCGCGAAAAGCATGGGCGCTTGTGACAACGTGTCTTGTTCCAAATCCTTGCGAAGTGCGTTGTACAAAAGAGGCGAAAACGTGGTAAATACCGGTGTTTTCTGCGTGGACGCAATATGAATCACGTTCTTATCACACCCTTCCCCCCCCCCCCCCGCCCCAAAGCCGAACAACAGGAAAAGTGCAGGAAACACCGGAAAAATGCAGGAAACACTGCGGCAACCCGTGGCCCAACTACCCTTAGAGGGGGGGGGGCCTCTTGGGGTGCTAGGGCTCAGGGGTCCGAGTAGGGTTTAGAGGTGGTAGAGTGGCGCTTTCTGGTTGGGCTTGGGGTTGGATGGGTCTAATTAGGGTTTAGGATTTGGGGTTTGGGGTTTAGGGTTTAGGGTTTAGGGTTTAGGGTTTGTGTGAGGGTTTGGGGGTGAACGTTCAAGACTGTGGGGAGTTGAAAGAGTTTAAGGGGGGTGGCTTATGGGCTCAGCCCATGCGCACGGACGTCGAAGTTGTGGGGCGGATGTAGAGGCTTTGTGGCCTTTAGCCCCACATCCGAAACCCGAAACCCCAAATCCCTCAAAGCCCCAAACCCCTAAACCCGAAACCCCAAATACCTCCAAGCCCTACAAGCCTGAAACCCTAAACCCGAAAACCCCAAATCCCTCAAAGCCCTAAAAGCCCCAAACCCTAAACCCTAAACCGCCAAACCCCTGAACCCTAAACCCTAAACCCTAAGCCCTAAAAGCCCCAAACCCTAAACCCTAAACCCCCAAACCCTAGTTCCTAAAAGAGACCTCGTCGGTGAGCTCCTCGATGCGCTCGTGCGCTGCATCCAGCTTGGCTTGAAGAGCCGCCATGATCTTCTCCTGGTTTAGGGGGTTTAGGGTTTAGGGTTTAGGGTCTAGGGTCTAGGGTCTAGGGTTTAGGATTTTGGGTTTAGGGTTTAGGGTTTAGGGTTTAGGGTTTAGGGTTTAGGGTTTAGGGTTTAGGGTTTAGGGTTTAGGGTTTAGGGTTTAGGGTTTAGGGTTTAGGGTTTAGGGTTGAGGGTTTAGGGTTTAGGGTTTAGGGTTTAGGGTTTAGGGTTTAGGGTTTAGGGTTTAGGGTTTAGGGTTTAGGGTTTAGGGTTTAGGGTTTAGGGTTTAGGGTTTAGGGTTTAGGGTTTAGGGTTTAGGGTTTAGGGTTTAGGTTTCAAGTTGCGGTCCAGGGCCTTCCCCAATACACTCCCCCAGAAATCAGCATCAACCTTCTACCCTAGTTGCAGCATACAACCCCCACACCCCCCTCGCACCCTATACCCTACATCCCTTACCCATACCCAATACCCCAAACCCTACACCCTAGACCCCATGCCCTGTACCCGATGCCCGCCCCCTGTGCCCCATGCCTCAAACCCTAAGCCCTACCGAATATGTCGGAGAGCAGATCGACTTATGAGCCTCATTGACACCCTAAACCCTAAACCTAAACCCTAAGCCCCAACAAGCCATGAACCCGGTTGCATGGCCGAGCTGCCGGAGATGCATCGCCGCTGTCCATCAGGAGATCCTCCCCACCATGTCACAGAATGCGTGGGCCCTAGCCAATTAAGGCCCAAATAGGCCTAAACCCTCCCTGCACCGCACAGCCCTCACCCTAGCCCTAAACCCTAAACCCTAAACCCCTAAACCCTAAACCCAGGCTCCAACCTCCCAGGGCTTTGTTTTTGGGGGGGCTGGTGGGTGGGGCAAGGGTTTAGGGCTTGCGGTTTTAGAGTTTCGTTGTTTGCTTTGGGGGGGGGGGGGTTGAGAGGCCCTAAACCCGAAGCCCTAAACCCTAAACAGGAGCTCCGCGCTCCTCGTCGATGTCCCCAGCCACGCCCATGATCACCACACAATCCTTCATGAGCTCGGGCTGAACGGACATGTAGTAATACCTGACTGGATTGGGTTACAGTTTAGGGCTTAGTTCGGGCTTAGGGCTGGGGGCTTCACGGAGGGCTTCAGGCTTGGGGCTAGGGCTTAGTGCTTTGGCGCTTTGGGGCTCAGGGCTTAGAATCCAGGATGGCCCCTTGAAGCCATCATCTACATGAGACTCTTATTGAAGATCATCCTCTGAAGCCAAAGCAAAATTTAAGCGTGCAGGGTTTAAGGGCGAAAGGTATGGTTGGGCACATCAAACCCTTACCCCTCCACCCTAGAACCCCAAAGCCCCAAACCCTAAACCCTTTCGGCTTCGGGTGTAGGGTTTAGGGTTTCGGGTTTAGGGTGAGGGCTAACCCGAGAACTCAAATTGGCAAACCCGAGGCCCTTAGAGCCCATGTGTACAAGGCATTTCCCCAAGACAGTGGGTTTTTTTCCCATGAGACCTGCCCCTTAAGAACTCACAAGGGTAGCCCCAATGTTTGACAACCGCCGTGTTTAAACCATAAACCCGCCGTTTGAGCACTGTCCATCGAGTCTGAATGTACCACAGAGACGACAGCAAGATGCAGCTTCAACGGTTCGGGAGGCAGCTCCTACACCAAGGTCCTTGTTGTGTTTAGGGTGCTTTAGGGTTTAGGGTTTAGGGTTTGGGAATTAGAGGTCTATATAAGGTTGAGGGCATTTCTCGCGGCGGCAGGAAATACCATTGAGGGGGGGGGATATGTTGCAAAGACACCAAGAGCCGAGAATGCCGCCTTGCCACCCCCGGCTTGCGCAGGGGTCCACCCAACTTTATTCCGAACTAGTAAACCCTAAACCCTAAACCCTAAACCCTAAACCCTAAAGAATCGTTGCCGGGTGTGGGTTTCGGGTTTGAGGTTGGGAGCCCAATACCGGTGACATAAGCAGCGCACACGGAACTGCATAACGGAGTCCTCGTCATGAACTAAGGCATCTCCGAGATGAAAGGGTACTGGGTGTCATTTGCCGAACCCTAAACCCTAAGCCCTAAGCCCTAAGCCCTAAGACCTAAGCCCTAAACCCTAAACCCCAAACCCTAAACCCCAAACCCTAAACCCAAAACCCTAACTAAGCCCTAACTAAGCCCTAAGCCCCCATGGGCCCCCCACGCCAGGTCTGCTGCATGGCCAGCGCGGTTCAGCTCCTGCACGACCTTCGTGGCAGCCGGAAGGGAAATTAAGGGCCCTTTAGGGCTTCGGGTTTAGGGTTTAGGGTTTAGGGTTTAGGGTTTAGGGTTTAGGGTTTAGGGTTTAGGGTTTAGGGTTTAGGGTGGAGATTCAGGGCGGGATGCTTTTGGGGTTCTGCACAAAGTGCCCTCAACTCCACAACCTCGAGCCCGCGAGTCGGATCCGTGCATCAAGCCCTAAACCCTAAACCCTAAACCCTAAACCCTAAACCCTAAACCCTAAACCCTAAAACCTAAACCGCAAACCCTAAACCCTAAACCCTAAACCCGAAACCCGAAAACCCTAAACCCTAAACCCTAAACCCCAAGCCCTGACCCTAACCCCTGAACCCCACACCCCAACGGGGACCCTGATGTAGAAACAGAACATCGGCTCACATCGGGATGAGATTCCACCAACTCGGGACGATTCTACATGCAAGATGAGCGTACACCCAGAACGCTACACTTAAGGGCTTAGGGTTCCAGTATTAAGGTTGAGGGTTGCGGCTTAGGGCGGCCCTAAACCCTAAACCCTAAAACCAAAATCCTAAACCCTAAACCCTAAACCCTAAACCCTAAACCCTAAACCCTAAACCCTAAACCCTAAACCCGAAGCCACGCAGCCCTTCCACTGCCATCCAGGGGGCTGTCAGGAGGTGAGCCTTCAGCTTCTCGATGTTCTTGCGGCGCTTCCTCTGCTCTCTGGTTTAGGGTTGAGGGTGTTTAGGGTTGACCCCAATACCCTAAACCCTAAACCCTAAACTAAACCCCAAGGGCTTTAGGGCTTTAGGGCTGTAGGGCTGTAGGGCCGTAGGGCTTTAGGGCTTTAGGGCTAAGGGCCTAGGGTGTCGTGGTTGCGCGAGGGTCAGATCGCACAGGATACCTTTTTGGGGGGTAAGAGAGTGGCCTGAGGGGAGCGAAATGCTGGTATACTCCAACATGGCAGTACTGTTCTATGGTATGTCACTACCAGACCCGTGAAGACGTCAGAAAAGGACGCTGGCGAGGCTTACATTTTTGCTCGCATGGGTGGTGCTTTAGGAGGTTGAACGTGTATTCATGGTTGCTTGACTTTTTGTATTCATCCTTATACCCTAAACCCTAAACCCTAAACCCTAAACCCTAAACCCTAAACCCTATAATGGCTTTATAATGTTTCATTAGATTCATTAGGTTGAATGTGACTCGTGGCGCAGATGCACATTCTACTCTCATGTGCGGTTGAAACTCCACTTGGATCTCAATCGACAAGTTTCGTTCAGCGGCGAGTCATAGTCATGTTGTCATCTTCTTTTGCGAACGTTCGTGTCCTCTTCATGCCCTCTTCGTCGGAGGAGGAGATACATCTCAAAGCGCGTCGGGAAAATCCTTCACTGCGAACAACTCCAGAAATGCCAACACCACATTGTCTCGCTGTCTGCACCGAGACTCCTCGAAACTGCACGTAAATCGTTCTGCGAGGCAGACTACCAGACACGTTTCGCGGCAATCAGATCAAAATCGAGTCGGAATGCCAGCGATACGCGAGTTTCATTCCCGGCGGAATTGGGCAAAGACTGTAAGCCAGGTCAGTTACCTGACAGTAACAGACCAACGCTCGCACCGACTTATACCAAGTCCTTCTCTGGCAGCTCCCAGCTGGTAACGTGCAAGTTTAGATAGAACAAACTCTCCATTCCTATATTCTTAGTAGGGTTTAGGGTTTAGGGTTGAGGGCTTAGGATTTAGGATTTTCTAACATCATAACACTATGGCATCATAACGCCATGTCATTCTAGCACTACAACATCATAAACATTGGACGTCTCCTTCGGCACAACCTAGAACTTCCGGAGCCCTCCCGGCACCTGAATCCAACTGAACTCCGAAGACCCTAAACCCTAAACCCTAAACCCTAAACCCTAAACCCTAAACCCTAAACCCTAAACCCTAAACCCTAAACCCTAAACCCTAAACCCTAAACCCTAAGTAGGATGGCCCTTAAACCCCTCTGAAAAATAGTCCTGAAGATGCTCCTCTTACACCCAATAAGGGAAAATATGGAAAATATCCCAAAGGCCTACCTAGCTGAGAGTTTCTAGGGGTCTCTAATCTTGCTGGTTTCTGGTAGTGGGGCATTTGGGGCATTTGGGGCTAGGTTTCATATAGATATAGATATAGAATGATAGAGATATAAATATAGATAGAGAGAGATAGAGATAGAGATAGAGATACAGATAGAGATAGAGATAGAGATAGAGATAGAGATAGAGATTCAGATATAGATGTAAGGGTTATTAGGGGGATGGGAGGGGTACTTAACCACGTTCCTTCCCTATTAAGATATTCAGAACTTGCAAGTAAACCCATGATGTCCGAAGCTGTTGAACGACTTGGCTGCCTGCGGACACCTGGGGAAGATGTGCACCCTTATGGGTAACTTTCACCATGGAACAAAGTAGAGGGACCTTCAATTTCTCAGACCAAACCCTGAAACCTTCAACGCTAATCCCCTGCAACGCAGAACCGCCTGAACCCTGAACCCCAAACCCTAAACCCTAAACCCTAAACCCTAAACCCTAAACCCCAAACCCTAAACCCTAAACCCGATGTCATTGCAGCCCCTCTTGGCCGCTCTCCCTTTCTCTGTCAAGTTGCGGCTTGAGGGCCAGCATCTCTAGGTCTGCCTCCTGCAGACCCAAAGAGCCCAATGCCCCTTGTTTAGGGTTTAGGGTTTAGGGTTTAGGGTTTAGGGTTTAGGGTTTAGGGTTTAGGGTTTGGGGTTTAGGGTTTGGGGTTTAGGGTTTAGGGTTTAGGGTTCAGGGTTTAGAGCCCAAGACCCCTTAATTAAGGAATATACCTTGAATCATATTAAGGATCCCTTTATAAATTAAGGTACATTCCTTCATTAAGGAATATACCTTGAATCATACTAAGGATCCCTGTATACATTCAGGTATGTATCTCCTTAATTAAGGAATATACCTTGAATCATATTAAGGATCCCTGTATAAGGTAAGGAGTATACCCCTTAACTAAGGAGCATACCACAAATCAGATTAAGGATCCCTTTATACATTAAGGAGCCTTTTCCTTAATTGAGGGGTATTCTGCCCTTGGGGATGTCCTAGGGCTCAGGGCTAAGGGTTCAGGGTTTAGGGTTTAGGGTTTAGGGTTTAGGGTTTAGGGTTTAGGGTTTAGGGTTTGGGGCCTGGGGGTTGGGGTTTGGGGCTCAGGGTTTGGGGTTTGGGGCTGAGGCTTGGGGTGTAGGGCCTGGGGCTTGGGTACATCCCCGATACCCAATGAAAGTATAGATGATTGCAGCAGTCAGGACGTAGACGTGACGGGGTCTAGCTAGAAAGGCTGGGTGGACCGAAGTCGATGCCATGAAAATGAAAATGAAACGAGCGCAATTTGTAAACTCACATGAATCCATGAAGAATACGTTACTTTGGCACGCTACAAAATGTCAATAATGCGCCGCAACGAAGCTTCAATGTCCAGAAATTTCTCGTGCCATACAGCATAAACATGATCAGCAACAGCAGTTGCCCGAGGACAGGAATGCAAGAGATTGGGCTGTTCCGCAGTGAAATGAATAAGCTTAGAGCAAAATGGCACTGCCGTCGGCAGTCCGTATGGGTTGAACAATATGCGGCCGCTGCAAATTGCCAAGCAGCTGCATCTGATGAGCATGCTCCGCAGCTTCTCTGGATTTGCGAAAGCGGCTAAGCACAGCCACGAAACTTTTTTGGGACCCGCCCGGGCAAAACAACTCTGCATATAATTGAGACCACTTTTCGAAGTTAAGCGCGAGACGCAAGAAACTTGCTCATGAACATCCTGCGGAGCACGTTTCATGTCGTAAATCAATGTTATCCAGCCCGGTGGAATCGTTTTTCTGGCAATTTTCGGGACACTTCAAGAAATGGATAACTGAGGAGCTTGAACAAAAGGCTAATATTGAGGAATGACTGCAACGAAGCAATGCGTAGAAAAATCGAATGGCGTGGTATTCTGGGTAGGACATAATGCTATATAGGGGATGTGAGGTGATGCTACTGGACATTAGTAAGGGTTTAGGCTGAAACTTCTTCGAGGGTCGGGGCCCCTCGCCCCTAAAGCCAGAAACCGGCACATGCCCAGGAGCTTCGGATCCACGCAACCCTGCAGGTTTAGAGTTTAGGGTTTAGGGTTTAGGGTTGAGGTGCTAGGGGGTTCAGGGTTCAGCCTTTCAAGTTCAAGCAACTTGCGGAAAAGTCCCCATTGGGCCCCACAACACTAGGAAAAGATGTTACTTTGCCTACTATTTGCTTAAGAACCCCGCCCCCCCCCCCCCCCCCCCTGCGGCGCGCCAACCAGTCTTCCGTGAAGATCATCAGTCGCACCAGCCTCGTGATCACGAAGCCATGGCCATCACAGAGTGTATCTGCAGACGCACAGCTTCAGCACGGAGTGTGAGCCGTCCTCGCTTTTAGCCCACAGCACATGGACGCAAGCTGCCCAGCCATCACAGTCGTGATCCAGTCCCGACCCCCCCCACCCCACCCCAATAAAAAATCTTCCCTGTCAGGGCAATTTCGGAATTCTTACTTGATATTGCTTGGGGTTCCTAAGCAAATGGTAGTTACATCTTGTTCGTCAAGCCAGCCTTCCTGTTTACCCTCTCCTTAGATTCTTGCTGTCTACATTTAGATCCTTTCTGTCATGGCTTGTGGAAGTGTGGAAGTCTAAAGAGTTTAGGGTTTAGGGACCCACTTCCAGAGTCTCTTTAAACCCTAAAGAGACTTCTACACCGCCTCATTGGAGGAAAAAACTGGGCTCAGAATAGAGAGAGAGAGAGAGACAGAAGAAGAAGAAGAAGAAGAAGAAGAAAAAGACCTCTGTGAACCCCAAAGCCCAAACCTCAACCCTAAACCCTAAACCCTAAACCCTAAAAACCCCCAAAGGCCCAAGCTACTTCAGCTTGTGAACGAAGGCCCATTCCGCGACATGGCAGCTAGAAGTTGCAACCCTACACCCACAACCCTAGGCACTAAGCCCTACGAATCCCCAAGGGTTTAGGGTTTAGGGTTTAGGGTTTAGGGTTTAGGGTTTAGGGTTTAGGGTTTAGGGTTTAGGGTTTAGGGTTTAGGGTTTAGGGTTTAGGGTTTAGGGTTTAGGGTTTAGGGTTTAGGGTTTAGGGTTTAGGGTTTAGGCCCCCTAAACCCCCCTAAAGCCCTTTAAACCCCCGTAAAATACCTAAACCTAAACCCGCCTGAACCCCCTGAACCCCCTAAACCCTCCAAACCCCCTAAACCCTGTAAACCCCCTAAACCTTAAACCCTAAACCCTGAAGCCCGGCTGTTGTCGCCGGGCCCTGCCGTCCTCCTCGTCCTCCTCCTCCTCTGCGTCTTCCTGGGTTCAGGGCTCAGGGTTCAGGATGGGTTTAGGGTTTAGGGTTCAGGGTTTAGGGTTTAGGGTTTAGGGTTTAGGGTTCAGGGTTTAGGGTTAAGGGTTTGAGGGTTGAAGGCCTACAGGGCTTCGGTTTCTGGCTTTGGCTTTGCTGTGACCTTTAAGGGTTCGAGGGGGGGAGGGAGGGGGGCGGAGCGGCGCCCGAAAACCCTCAACCCTTAACCCTCCAACCCTCAAACCCTAAACCCTCAAACCCTAAACCCTTAACCCTGAAACCCTCAACCCTTAACCCGGAAACCCAGAAAACCCTAATCTGCCAAAGTACTTCCGGCTCGTCGGCCAGGTATTCATGCCAGTTCCAGGGGTCGTAATGGTGGTCCTTCAGCACCTTGGCTCGTTCCAGCGCGAACCCTGCTTCCCAAAACCACGAAAACCTGAAAGGGTTTGGGGTTTAGGGTTTCAGGCTTAGAGGGCTTCGGGCTTCGGGCTTCCGGATGCAGAGTCGGCGTGCGCACGCCTCGCTTGCCTACGGGGCTACGACAAAGTCTCCAACTTCCCCCCTTCCCCCCCGCCCAAGAGCCGAGCACTTCATAAAACCCATAAACCCCATCAACGGTCCCCACCCCGCCCCCCCCCACCCCCAAAAAAAAAAAAAAAACAACAACAAAGATAGCACAATAGTAAGAATAACAACAACAAGAACAACAAGAGTGACAATGGTAGGAACAACGACAAGAAGAACAACAAGAACACGAATACTCGAAACAATGGCAAAGAGAATGACAATGATCATGAGAATACAATCGTGTATAGCAAATAATGAGCAGGTCACACCAGAACCCTTGAACCCCTAATGTCAAAAACTCGCAACCCCAAGAAGTCCCAAACCCCCAAACCCTCGCCACGGAAAGCCCAGAGCCCTTCAAAGTTTGGTCCGAGGGCGTTCAATGCCTGCCGCAGTCTCTCGAAAGATTCCACCGGAGTCTCCATGGTGTACACCATGCCGGCTTCGGTTTCAGGGGGGCTTCGGGGGGCTTGTGGGGTTTAGGGGCGTCTACACCCTCGAGCACCCCACGGATGGAGGCGAGGGCCTTGTGCAGAGTTGTGGTCTACAGATCCATGGCTTCAGGCCTCTTGGCGTCTTTGGCCTCGGGAAGACTAAAAGCTGGGCAGACCAAAGTGCTGAAATCCTCTAAGGCCTCTAAATCCTAAACCCTAAACCCTAAACCCTAAACCCTAAACCCTAAACCCTAAACCCTAAACCCTAAACCCTAAACCCTCAGCTCAAACTTGAATCCCTATCGACCATGAGCTGCAGACCCCTGGCGGCAGCACCTATCTACAAAGCAAGCCAGCCAAGCGCTGCGAGCTGCGGTGCAAGCTTCAACACCACCCGGGTTTAGGGTTTAGGGTTTAGGGTTTCGGGTGTAGGGTTTAGGGTTTAGGGTTTAGGGCTTAGGGCTTAGGGCTTAGGGTTTAGGTTCTCGCAAGGAGACCCCCCAAGTCCCCCGAACCCTGAAAACCCTAGATTTTGGGGTTTAGGTTTGGGGTTGAGGGTTGAGGGTTGAGGGTTTAGGGCCTTATGAGTAGCCTCCGTTGGGGCATCCTAGTTACAACCTCATTCATAACCTACGCTCTACAACCTGAACGATTGTCCAAGGTTTAGGGTTTAGGGTTTAGGGTTCAGGGTTTAGGGCTTGAGGGTTAGGGGTTAGGGGTTTAGGGTTTAGGGTTTAGGGTTTAGGGTTTAGGGTTTAGGGCTTGAGGGTTAGGGGTTTAGGGTTAAGGGCTTAGGGATTAGGGCTTATAAGGCTTCGGGCTTTTTGGGGGCTTACCCCTCGACCCTCGGGATAAGAGCAATGCAGAATCACGGCCGGCACACTTAGACCGTAAGAGCCCTAAACCCTAAACCCTAAACCCTAAACCCTAAACCCTAAACCCTAAACCCTAAACCCTAAACCCTAAGCCCTAAGCCCTCAACCCTCCCTAGACCCTCAACCCGGGTGCCTTTAACCCCAAACAACTATGGCACAAGACAGCTTCCCTCCAAATGATTCGCGGAGCGACGGCTTAGGGACCTGCCTTACATGTGCCCTACAATGTGAGGGTTTAAGGTTTAGGGTTTAGGGCTTAGGGTTTAGGGTTTAGGGCTTAGGGCTTAGGGTTTCGGGTTTAGGGTTTAGGGTTTAGGGTTTAGGGTTTAGGGTTTAGGGTTTAGGGTTTAGGGTTTGGGGACCCCAATTGTAAACTGCAGGCCCTGGGCTAGGGGTTCGGCATTGGGCCTGACTCGGAAGCATCGACGTTTGCTGCACAACTGCAGATCGAGGTGTAGAGACTGAGACAGCATTTCGCAGATTTCGCGAAGCCAGCACGCTGGCCTCCCTGCAAAATAAGGCAACTTGCTGCAACTGCCCTGGTATCCCAGTTCCGGCATCATCCGAAAGACGCAGCGGACATTTTGAAGACAATGAGGCCGGGTTTGGGTTGAGAGCTTAGGGTTGAGAGCTTAGAGTTGGGTGTTTATTCGGGTTCGAGTTTAGGGTTTAGGGCTCCCCCTATTTATGATCCCTCTGATTTAGTGCAAGGTGGCTAGGGATTTGCCTGACCTTGCGTGAGACTTGCCCGGTGTCGCTGCTTCAGACTGAATTGGCCCTGTTTGCGACGATGGAGAGCGCGGCCATCGCTTTTGCGGGGTCCGCAAGATCTTCGAATCTTCGGGTGGTGCTGCGGACGCCAGCATGGCATGCCTCTATGAGTTTGGCGGTAGAAAGTTTCGGTCAACCTCTAAACCCTAAACCCTAAACCCTAAACCTAGGTCCAACCAAAACCGAAAATCAGAAGGATTTAGGGCTCATGTTCGGATGTAGGGAGTCAGAGTTTGGTGGTTTGGAGGGTTGCTGGGGGTTGTTAAGCCAGTGCGAGACACACCACAAAGGCTGCAGGCACAAAAAGGTTGCTCACGGGCGCACGCGAGCCCCGATCTTTAGAAAGCACAGGCTCACACGCAGAGCACGATGCCTTGAGCAACTGCCAGCTGCGACTTCCCAGCTCGAAGCCGTTATGGGGGCTTCCGAAATGGGGGTTCCTATAGTAAGGATTATACTCTTTTGGGGCATGTTTAGGGTACCCCCTATTTTTGCAAATTCCAATATAGGCTGTGTAAACCCCCTTGAAGGGCCAGGAAATTCGACAAGTCCTACCACCAACTGGTCAGCTAAGCAAGGGTCGGGGACATGGGTGTGCTGGTGTTGAGCGTAGAGCTTAAGTGGTTGATAGTAAAGATCGGGAGCAAGCCTAAACTCTACACCCCAAACCCTAAAAAACTATACCCTAAACCCTAACTGTTAACCCAAGGGCTCTCCCGCCGGTCCCTCCGAGGCCGAGATCCTGTTGGGGAAAGGGTTTAGGGTTTAGGGTTTAGGGTCCTATATACAAACAGGGCTTTTTGGAATCTCCCTTATAGGGGCCCTTATACCCCAATAGTAGGACCCTTCCTGATGTTTATGTGGTTTTTTTGGGCCGCAAAAAGTGCAAAACGTCTCCGCCTTTTGTTTGTTGGAGGTTTTCCGGCCCCAAAAGGGTTTCCGCGCGAACACTTGCGCGTGATTCGCAATGACAGCTGCGTGAAAGGTTCCAGTGGAACTTTGGAAGTTCTGTTCAGGACCCTAAACCTTACACCCCCAGACCCCAAACCTCGAAAACCCTAAACCCCTAACACCCTAAACCCCCGAAGCCATAAACCCAATTGAGGCTACAAAAAAGTAGTAGTGGAGGGCTGAGGCCGGTTTAGGGCTTGAGCTTAGGACTTAGGGCTTAGGGTTTTTGAGATGTGCAGAAATTACATGTCTACAGTCTACAGGCACATCGACAGCTCCTGACGAAAGGTATGACGGTGAATCTGCGGACGTCTGCTGGCAAGCTCCTTGACAAAGATGGGACATTCCCCATCTTCGGGTCATGAGGAGGATCCCTACTTTCATGTACCCTAAATTTAAATAAGATCAGATGTATAGTTGCCATACTTACTCCATGAACCTCCAAGTAGAAAAGTAAACCTTGCACCCTGAACCCTAAACCCTAAACCTTAAACCCTAAACCCTAAACCCTAAACCCTTAAAGCGCAAGAAGGGCTTCCTGAAAAGTTGCTGCACACGCATGAGCTCCAGGTTCACAAAGCAGCCCTGTAGGGTTTAGGGTTTAGGGTTTAGGGTTTAGGGTTTAGGGTTTAGGGTTTAGGGTTTAGGGTTTAGGGTTTGGGGTTTGGGGTTTAGGGTTTAGGGTTTAGGGTTTAGGCTTTAGGGTTTAGGGCTTAGGGCTTCGGGTTTAGGGTTTAGGGTGTAGAGGTAAGGGCTAAATTCTGGGCCCCGTAGGGTTTCGGGTTGGGGATCTCGGCTTTCGGGTAAGGGGTTTAGAGTTTCAGGCTTGGGGGTTTAGGGTTTCGGGTTTAGGGGTGTAGGGTTTCGGGTTTAGGGGTTAGGGTTTCGGGTTTAGAGTTTCAAGCTTGGGGGTTTAGAGTTTCAGGTTTTGGGGTTTAGGGCTTAGGGGTTTAGGCTTAGGGGATTCAGATTTCGGGTTTTGGGGTTTTGGGGTTTCGGGCTTGGGTGCTTCAAGTTATAACGAATAGAACACAACAGCAGCCCTGCAAAGGGACGAACGAATCCGAAGCTCACATTTTGCCGGCAAGCCGGACGACGGAGAAGCAATTGGGGCTTCGGGTTGGGGAGGGTTCAGTGTTAGGGTTTAGGTTTTAGGGTTTGGGGTTTAGGGTTTAGGGTTTTAGGGCCGCTTAGGGTTTAGGGTTTAGGGTTTAGGGTTTAGGGTTTAGGGTTTAGGGTTTAGGGTTTAGGGTTTAGGGTGAAGGGTTTAGGGTTTAGGGTTTAGGGTTTAGGGTTTAGGGTTTAGGGTTTAGGGTTTAGGGTTTAGGGTTTAGGGTTCAGCTTAGGGTTTTGGGCTTAGGGTCTTGGGTTTTTTGGGGGCGGAGGCATCCGAAGCCCTCACAAGATCGTGGCCACATCATTCAGCTGCTCATCAGGCGTGTCGTTGAGCGCCTGAGAGAGAGGGCAGCCATGTGAACTCTACTCCGAGGCAGTCCCATGCCACAAGTGTCTCAGATTGGCGGCACCAGCCGAAACAAAGTTCCTCAACCCTAAACCCTAAACCCTAAACCCTAAACCCTAAACCCGAAACCCTAAACCCTAAACCCTAAACCCGAAACCCTAAACCCTAAACTCTGAGCCACGACACATTCAGGAAGAGCCGCGCATGAATCACCTCGGGGCGGCTCTCGTGCGCAGGCTGGCCCTTAAGGGTTCACAGGGCTCATAAGGTTCACGAGGGTTTCGGGTTTCGATTTAGGGTTTAGGGTTGTGGGTTTAGGGTTTTTGGGTTCACAAGGGTTTTGGAGCGTACAGGGCTTATGCTTACAGGGCTTATGGAGCTTACAGGGCATACAGGGCTTTTCTGCTTTAGGGCTCATAGGCTTCGATTGGCCCCATATGCGGTCCCTCTTGTGGGAGGCGCCTAGCACTTCAGGTTCTTCGGTAGTCGCCATAAATGGGCACCCAACCCTACTACGACGAGACTGCCACCACCACTCACTAGCACTGCCACTGCCACCATACCACTAACCCCCACCACTCCCTTAAGAACCCCATGTGCCGTCCTTAGTTTCTGGGCTCAAGTACCAATGAAGTGCGAGAGCGTCCCTGAAAAACCTAAAGAATTCTTTCCCTATTTGCTGGGCCTGAGTACCAGCCAAGTGCTGGAGATTTGGCTTCTAGGACTATTAGGGACAATCTAGCACTTCATTGGTATCTAGACCAAAGACTAGGGACAGCACAGCGCTTCGGGTGGCAGCTGGAGAACGAGACCCCCCATCACACATTTAAGCAGTTCATGATGGGACACTCACGCGTGCCAGCTACACTCGACTCTGTTGGCGGCTTAGGTGGACTCACTTGGGTTTGAAGGACAGTACAGCGGTTTATCGGTACCCGGACTAAGCTCCAAAAGCCCGTGTTCTTGTTAAAAGTAGGGGGGATGTGCTTGGGTAAGAAAATAGCAAACCGCCTTCTACTTCCGACTTAGATTACAATATCATTTGTCTTAACGAAGCTACAGGCCCAAAGATGACCTTTAGTTCAATCCAACAACGGACATAAGAGACAACCTCTCCTGCTCGTAAATTTAGGATTAGACAGCGCCTCTTCTTTTGTTCTTCAGTTCATCGTGTTATGAGTAAGAGACACAATGCTTCCTTCTTCTCTGACAACACATTGCACAAATCTGCTCACTTACAATCAGAAACAACAGAACGCTTTTGCTTGTGGTATCAAGTCTTGTGTTGAAAACAACACAAGCACGCGGGCAATCCAAAGAAAAACTCGCGGAACCAATATGAAGAGAATGGGTTTTCCTTACATAGGAGAATGAATGAGTGCAACAGTGTTGTTGTTCTTCATGAGAAAGGGGTGGATCCTGGGGGAAGAGGGCGAGAATAGAAATGTTGTATATGTACATATAGAGAGAAAGATTTTTCTAGAAATATATATATATAAATAGATAGATAGATAGATAGACACACATGAATATATGTGCACATCGTGAGCTACAAGTTTAGATGTTCAGAGGTACAAGAAATTTGTGAGTGCACGTATGATCAAGAGCAGACTGTTTGGGAAGGTCACAGGCTTCAGGCGAAGCGTACAATTCATGTAGGGGCCTGAATAGTTGGAATAGGACTTTGCGGGGGAGGGGGGGGGGGGGGCGTCTAGTATAATGAGATAAGGACCATAAGGCAATACTCAGCAATGCTATTCAGAATTTTTTCGACCCCCTATAAAATTTTTGCGGCTGCAAACTTAGCTTCGGGGTCTGGGCTTTAGGGTTTGGGGCTTGTGGTTTTCAAGTGCATCCTAAACCCTAAACCCTAAACCCTAAACCCTAAATCTAAACCCTAAACCCTAAACCCTAACTCCACTCTTTGTTGCCGAGCCGCAAGCTCTGCCGAGATATCCGAGTGGCCAGCCGAGATAGAGAGGAGCTGCGAGTGGCTCAAGCACCTCGGTGTGGGGGTTTCCGAAATTGGGGGGGTTTAGGGTTTAGGGTTTAGGGTTTAGGGTTTAGGGTTTAGGTTTTAGGGTTTACGCGTTAGGGGTTAGGGGTTTAGGGTTTAGGGTTTAGGGTGTAGGGTTTAGGGTTTAGGGTTTAGGGTTTAGGGTTTAGGGTTTAGGGTTTAGGGTTTAAGTGTTGTTGTGCTGAGGCACAAAAGGCTCGTGCTTGTCCCAGCGACGGCTTGACCGAGATATGTCCACGGCGTCCTTAGCTTCCAGCTTTCACCACGTGGATGGGGGTCCCCCAAACCCTAAACCCTAAACCCTAAACCCTCACCCCTCACCCCTAAACCCTAAACCCTAAACCCTAAACCCTAAACCCTAAACCCTAAACCGGGGGGGGCGGTTGAAGTCTTGCGAAGCAAGCGTCCATAGGCACGCCTCGCACATCCAATGGCCGGGTGTCACGCGCAAGACAGGGCTCGGGCCATCCCCACCCGTCTGCTTCTTCGACTTTGGCTTTGCTGGCACTATCCTCGGTTGGCCATCTGTAAACCCTCTGCAAAACGACTGTTTGCTTAAGGACGCCCCCAAAGACATGACAAATGGTCTTCCTTGTATGGGCAATGTAGGGATTGCTCTCTTTGACTTTTTTTTGGGGCGAGGGGGTTCTTAATCAAAGAGCAGAGAAGGTTCCGAAAGATGCTGCTGTCTTACACCCACTCTGGTTTAGGGTTTAGGGTTTAGGGTTTAGGGTTTAGGGTTTAGGGTTTAGGGTTTAGAGTTTAGGGTTTAGGGTTTAGGGTTTAGGGTTTAGGGTTTAGGGTTTAGGGTTTAGGGTTTAGGGTTTAGGGTTTAGGGTTTAGGGTTTAGCGTTGGCCTGCCGAGGATCATGGCCAGCTGCTTACTCCCAACGATGGGAGTAAAAGTATTGTGGCGGTGGATGCTCCAGGTCCTTCTAGGGGTTCTACCTTGGACCCTTAAGGGTTCAGGGTTTAGGGTCTGGGCTTTGGGGTTTGGGGTTTAGGGTTTAGGGTTCTACCTTGGACCCTTAAGGTAGTAGCCTTGGGTTGTGGGGCCCCTTTTCAAGGATCCCTAAGATTATATTCAAGGGCCGTATGAGGAGTCTAGTAAGGGGAAGCTTAAAGGGTACAACCTTAGGGGTACGCGTCCGAATCCCTTGAGTCCTCGCGTTTCCGGGGTTGCTCCGCTCGGCAGCTGAGACAAATCCGTTGGCCTTGTACAGCACCTTGGTACCCCAGTAACCATATTACGATAAGGGCACCCTCTTTTGGTTGGGTAATTGATAAGGCAACCTTGAACCCAAAAACAAGGAGGAAAAGGGCACCACTGGGCTACCAAGGCACGAAGTTGTAGGCCACGAAGAGCATACTCTGACATGAGAGCCCTCCTGAGAACAGGACCTCATTTGGGGCCACCGTCCAATTTGTCAGGGACTTCACACAAAGGTCGTGCTGAAAGGCAGGATACTTCGCCATCAAGGAGGAGAACATCTGGTGGCGACCGACTACCGCACTGAAGGCCTGGCAGCATAGCTGCGCGTACAGCAGGTCTGGTAGCAGGCTGTGCATTTCGTGCTTGGTGGGTAAGGACACCCTCTTCACCGTCTGCTTCAGGTAGTCCTTCAGCTGGCGCTCCAAGCTCCAAGAGACGGGGAAGGTCTCCAGGAAATCCTTGGTCATCTGGTGTAGGGGTTGGGTGTCTCCAGGGTGCAGATCTCAGGGTTTAGGGTTTTAGGGTTTAGGACGCTGAAGTTTGAGTAGGCTCCCGCCCTCCGTACACCACAGGAAACCGATGCTGTGTCAACCTCTAAATTAGGGACCCCAGAACAGTCCTGTGATGGACATCCGGTCCGCATGGCGGGGGTTGGAGAAACCACACATCCCGGCGGGACAAACACTCCCCGCCCCCTCAACAAAAAATCTAAACCCTAAACCCTAAACTCCCTAAACCCTAAACCCCAAACCCCAAACCCCAAACCCCAAACCCCAAACCTAAACCCTAACCTAAGCCATATACCTATACATGTATGTATATATATATATATAACGGACAGGAGCATTGGATCACTCAACTGTTGCCCAGCCGCAGACAGCTGGCAGTCTGCCTCACCCTGCTGTCGCCGCACGCGGCGGATGTCCGACATGTCGTTGGTCACGATGGAGGTGAAGATCGAGCCGAATCTTGGTCCACCCTAAGCCCTGAACCCGGTCCAGGGTTTAGGGTTTAGGGTTTAGGGCTTCGGACCTGCTGTTGCATCCTCCCCGCAGACACTTTGGGTGTTGTTGAACCAACGAACCTGACCTTAGGAACCCAAACCCTAAACCCTAAACCCCTAAACCCCTAAACCTAAACCCTAAACCCTAAACCCCTTCCTGTCTGAGTCTTCCTCACTGTCGAGTCGGTGCCGACACCTCTAAGCATGGAATGCTCTTTGGTACCACTACAAGGAGCCCCAAACCTGGGATGTTCCCCCTTTATACTAGCAGCTCCTTCCTTAACAGCGATTTTAATAGGGGGTTCCTTCAGTCCCTGTGAAGGACTATTAGCATAAGGGGGAGCATCCCAAGGCCCCATGGTTTAGAGACAAGCCCCCGGAAAAAGTGCACAGCCAGGTCGCAGCAATGCCATGGCTGTGGCCGTCAGGGCGATGCCTCTGCCAGAAAAAACGACACAAACCCAGAACCGAAAACCCCTGAACCCCTGAACCCCTAAACCCCTAAACCCCTAAACCCCTAAACCCCTAAACCCTAAACCCTAAACCCTAAACCCTAAACCCTAAACCGCCTAGACCCTTCTCTGGGTTGGTGTCCTACAAACTCCCTGAATCCAACTTCTCGAGCCTTCTTAACCACGGTAAGGGGGGATGTAACCTATCCCAAGGGCCGGGCCCACCCGAGGGTTTGTTTTGCGCTTCCTGGAAGTTGTTAGGGTTTAGGGTTTAGGGTTTAGGGTTTAGGGTTTAGGGTTTAGGGTCTAGGGTCTAGGGTTTAGGGTTTAGGGTTTAGGGTTTAGGGTTTAGGGTTTAGGGTTTAGGGTTTAGGGTTTAGGGTTTAGGGTTTAGAACCCTTACTCCAAAAGAACGGAACAAGGATGCCAATAGGGCTGTTCCCCTTAGACTAACAGTCCTGTTTTAATAGGGACAAAAGTCCCCCCTAGTATAATCCCGGTTAAGGACTGTTAGTACAAGGGGGAACCTCCCAAGATACCACTGAGAGCCCCCTTGAGGAAAGCCCAGGCTGTTGGCAGAACTTGGCGGGGCTTAGGGGTCTGGGAGTGGCTAACAAACTTGTTCGTGCCTGGTTCGGTAGCAAGACCTTCAAACTGATCCTGAACACGACTGCTGCGAAATGAGTGCCACGGGAACAAGGAACCAGGGTACCCTTGAGAAGGGTTCAAGGTTCGTTGTTTTTTTTCGGGGCTTTGAGTGGTGTTGCGGGGTTAACGCTTAGGGTTGACCCTGAGCCCTCAAGGGACCACCCCTTGCTGCCTCGCTCCATCTGCGTGGTGAGCATAATGTTGTCTGTAGTCTTCGATGGAGGGATGCGAGACAGCGCAAACTCCAGCGTCCTCCGGTACTGCTCCTTCGCTGGGTGTTCTTGGAAGCTCTCCAAAAATCATCGTCCCTTCTGGGGCTCTTATAAGAATGCGGAGTGCTTTATACTGGGCACCCACAAAGGGACCCTGAGAATCATCCTCATGATCTTGCCTTCTCTACCCTAAACCCTAAGCTGAAGACCGGGCCCTTTATGGGGTTTTACGAACAAAAGGGAAGACTAATCTGTTTCCCCAAGTAGTAGGTTAGGCTTCCCTTGTAGTAAGGACCCCCGAGTAAGGTACCCCGCATGTCGGAAACCCCCTTTATAGGGACTGGGGCCGGCGCGGCGCAGCAGGCCGACCCAAAAAAAACCGCAGATCGAGGCTTCGCATGCAGTCCCAACGAGAATCTGAAAACCGGTGGGGGGGTCTCCAAGTGCCTCTGGGGTCTCCAGGGGCCTCCAACCTTATGCACAGGAGGGCCATGCGTGCCTTCTGTGAAGTCTTAGGGTCGGGCCATGCACCGTCTGTTCGCGGCGTGCGCAAGTGGCCTGCCAGAGCACGGCAGAGTGCCTGGATGACGCACCCGCCGCAGTTTCTTGGCTGGCTCTGTAGATATGTATTCGCTCATACTGGCTGGACTGTGTGCAGGCAGAAGGAGAGGCTGAATGAAGCGAGCGATTTGAAACGGCAGCCTGGCTGGTGTGGTTGCGGGTGCACGCTTTCACTGGATGAGGCGGGCTCTCTTTGGCCAAACACACTTATTCTTCTCGTCCTGCCCCATGCGACGTGCGCGCTTCCTGCGGGCCAAACGTTCAACCAACGCTTCACAGGACAGCGCTGGAAATGCGGAAAGACGGGGTCTGCAATCTGTCGGCAAACTCGCCATGTGCCTTCGACACTTGTACCAATCAGATGTGGAAGGTTCCAGAGAACTAGCCTCTCCCTGAGCAGCAATTCCCCTGCTCTCTGAGAAATCATAAACACATGTCTTCATGAAGATCATCTTCTTCACACAGAATTCTCCCCCCCCCCCCCCCAAAAATGTCCCTGAGCTGATAGGGGGCTTGAGAGGTGGACAACCCCTAAGCTCGTCATGAAAGGCTTGTGGTTTCCCTCAATCCCAAAATCCTAAGCCCTACTGTATGGCGGGATTCTAAGTTCTCAAAGCATACGGTGGCAACCAGGGCCTTTGGGGTTTAGGGTTTCGGGCTGTATGTTTTAGGGTCCAGAGCTTTAGCCCTAAATAGGTCATGATGACCTCGGACAAGGTGTGTTACTGATTGAGAGATGCAAGGCCCTTTTGTGCGGAAAGTTTTGCTCAAATTAAACTACACATACCGGACATGAAGGTTTTGCGCTTGTTTTTAGCCTGAGTCAGTTCTTGTAGAGTATGGTCCCTATCCGATGTCTCATAGCGAACCAAAACCAGACGACCCTGAGGAGGGCTGGCCAATATGAATACGCATGCCCTGCAAGACCTCTGCTTGAAGGTGCAGTTATAACTTATAACCCACATAAAAGCCAATTAAGTCCAATTAAGTCCCCTCATAGGGTTATAAGTACAGATATAAATGGGTTGCTAAGTACCCTGAACCTCCAAGTGGCCAGCCAAGTGTCCCAAACCGGCTGCTCCAAAAGGCCCTCGTCTGTTGCCCACCCATCCGGCACCCGTCCGGCCGCAAACCAAGTGCAGGTGAGCAAGTGAACTCCGACAAAGCACCTGGAAGGAGCACTTGAACGTGTTCATTGCAGTCTCGACCTAAACCCTAAGTCTGAACTCTAAGCCCCTACACCTAAACCCCTAAACCCCTAAAACCCAAACCCTAAAACCCTAAAACCCTAAAACCCTAAAACCCTAAAACCCTAAACCCTAAAACCCTAAAACCCTAAAACCCTAAAACCCTGAACCCTAAACCCTAAACCCTAAACCTTAGGGGCATCAGACCTGGACGTGGTGCAGATCAACGGAAGTTGCAAGGTAGACAAGTCGATGACCGTCAGCACCAAAAAAACACGAAAGCCTGACCTCCGAGCACGCCCCCCAAAGGCCAAAACAGGGCTCAGGGTTGAGGGGTTTAGGGTTTAGGGTTTAGGGTTTAGGGTTTAGGGCTTAGGGTCAGAAAAAGAAACGTATCGTGAGAAGTTGAAGAAACAGCCATGACAGCGTTTGGGTCAATATCGCGTCGGGTCCCATCGGGCCGCTGGAAGTCTATGAGTCGACAATTACTTGTATCACCCTGTGCTGCACCCTATACAATGCCGGGTTTATGGGTTTAGGTTTCCCAAGCCCTCAAAAGCCCGTTTTTGAATCGGGATGACTCCGGGTTACTACAGGCTTGAGGGCTTGGGGTAGGGCAACCCTCATTCCCTACAAGTGGGAATCAGCTGCCACTCACTTGGGTATTTTGAGTTTTTGGACCACCCCATCGCCTAAAGCCCGAAAAACCCCTACCTCAAGCACCCGAGCCCCCACTGGAAGCCTTGACCCTGAACCCTTAAGCCCCCAGCCACAGCCTTCCGAAACCCTAAACCCTAAACCCTAAACCCTAAACCCTAAACCCTAAACCCTAAACCCTTAATAGGGATTACAGTACCCCCGTTAGTATAAAGAGGAGCATCTCCCAACCCTCAGCCCTCAAACCCGAAACCCTTGGCATCCTATGACAGTCTTGGCACACCATCAGCGTGATGATGAGGTTGGCCGCCGCGCGCACCTCGAGCCTTCCGCTGAGAGCGTTGCTTGAGGCTTTCGGGATTCTTAAGGTTTGGGTTTTGGGTTTAGGGTTTAGGGGATGCGCAAAAAATCGCGCGCCCCGAAGAAGTCTGCAGATCCTCAAGAACACTTCACACCGCGATCTCCATAAGGTCCCATAAAACAACAAGCCAGTGCTGGGAATGCAAAAGTCGGAAACCCAACGTTCCCTACTTGCAGGCTCAGGGTACTATTCACCCCAATTATAACTTTTCATGAGACTGTGCTATGTACTGTATACCCCGATTCTGGTGACTTAAAGTAGGCTCTCAAGCAAGAACCCGGAGAACCCCCCCACCCCACATCTACGACTGAAAGCCGGATGCTAAACTGATTCACCCCATGGTCGGGTTTAGGGTTTAGGCTTTAGGGTTTTGGGTTGAGGGTTGAGGGTTTAGGGTTGAGGGTTGAGGGTTTAGGGTTTAGGGTCACTGTTCATGGGCGGTTAACGAAGGTTCTAGGTGAGGTAAACTACGCAACGTCTGGTCGAAGGCGCCTTCGAGCCCCGCTGATTTCAAGCAACCCTAAACTCTAGGGTTTGAGGGTTCAGGGTTTAGGGTTTAGGGTTTAGGGTTTTTTAGGGTTCAGGGCAACATATGCCCTAAAACTCTATCGGCTCCGATTCTCAGCACTCGCCCCTGAAGTGCCCACCTGCGCAACTCCCCGCGATTCCACCTGGCCACTGCTAGTTTCATAGGGAATGATGGAGTAGGGAAGGGGCTTTCAAGGGGTGGGGGGGGGTTCTGGGGTGTAGGGTTTAGGGTTTACAGTAGGGTTTAGGGTTCAGGGTTTAGGGTTTAGGGTTTAGGTCTGAAGGCGTCCTACCGCGCAGCGGCCAGAACTATCATGTGGAAATGGCGGCCCAACACGTCCCGGGGGGAGGGGGGGGGTATGTTGGGGGGATTTGGGCTGGTGGCAGATGTCGCGAAGACCTCTTATTGCGAAAACACCCTAAACCCTAAACCCTAAACCCATCTACGGGCCTTCCGCTCCCAAGGGAGTCCGGGAGCCTCCTCTGGTCACTGCACCCAGTGCTTGCTGGGCTTAGGACTTCCTTTATGATTTTGAGATTCACAGAAGAACCCACTCTTTCAGAGAAACTCTTTAGGCCTCCAAGATGGCGTGAACGGCTGCAAAGGGTGCAATTCGGGGGGGTCCAGGCACCCAAGAAACAGGGTGGGTACGGCCGTTTTCAGTTTTAGGGGTAACAATACCCGCTCGCCATTCCTTAACAGCAAGATATGGCTTGGGGTGAGGGCGGACTCGTTCGACGATTGCGGCTGCTAGGTTCAGGGGTTCGTCGTGTCCTCTAAAGGTTCTTAGAGCTCTTGGGTTCTTACAACTTCAAGGCTTCAACGCCTCAATGGGCCTAATAATATGGACAGACTTCCAGTGCTACCGTGTTCAGGCCATTGAGGCCCTAAACCCGAAACCTAAACCCGAAACCTAAACCCGAAACCCTAAACCCTAAACCCTAAACCCTAAACCCTAAACCCTAAACCCCAGGTGCTTGGGTGTAGGGACCGGCTAGCCTGACTTAACACTCCCGAGTGACGCTGCGCAGGCTTGGGAATCTGCTTCTGGAGGGTTTAGGGTTTAGGGTTCAGGGTTTAGGGTTCAGGGTTTAGGGTTTAGGGTTTAGGGTTTGGGGTTTGGGGTTTGGGGTTTGGGGTTTAGGGTTTCAAGGTTTTAAGGGTTAGGGTTTAGGGTTGAGGGTTTGGGACGTGCTGATTTCGACTCGGTTTTGAGTTCAGAGTCTCTGGCAAAGGCAGGCAGGGGAAAGAATTGACACTGCGGCCGTCGGAACTGCAAAACGGTTGCTTCGGGTTTAGGGTTTCCGTCGCGTTTGGAGTGCAGGGCTTGCTGTTTAGGGTTTAGGGTTTCGGGTTTAGGGTTTAGGGTTTAGGGTTTAGGGTTTAGGGTTTAGGGTTTAGGGTTTAGGGTTTAGGGTTTAGGGTTTAGGGTTTAGGGTTTAGGGTTTAGGGTTTAGGGTTTAGGGTTTAGGGTTTGGGTTGCTGGCAACAAGCTTGTTCCCCAACAAAGCCGTAAGGCACGGCGCCTTTCTCTCCACCTCAAGCATTGCGATTGCGCAATTAGTCTCACAATTAAGCCCTAACAAACCTTAAACGCCGGAACCCTAAACCCTAAACCCTAAACCCTAAACCCTCATCCCGAGGCTCCCCCGCCTTACCAAGAACCGCGGGAATGCGCCGAGGTGGTAGAGCGCAGGGGCGTGGCGCAGTCGCAGAAGCTCTGGCCCTGCTTGTTGGGGGGGGGGGGGTTTAGGGTTTAGGGTTTGGGGTTTATGGTTTAGGGTTTGGGGTTTAGGGTTTAGGGTTGAGGGTTAGAGCTTAGGGTTTACGGTTTTAGGGGCTTAAGGCCCACTTTCCAGCACCCGATTCTGACTCTCGTCAACGACGTGTCGTGTTGCTCGGGATCTGCTTGGGAACTTGCAGCACACTGAGCTTGCAATGCAAGGTTCTGTAGAGAGGAGGCAAACCTTGTTATTCAGGGACAGCTCTACAATCCTAAGCCCCAAACCCTAAACCCCAAACCCTAAACCCTAAACCCCAAACCCTAAACCCTAAACCCTAAACCCTAAACCCTCGGGTGCCCCCACCTCGAAAGACGAACTGGGTTCGTGTCGAGAGGTTTTCTGCCTGGACCAGGCCCTTGGAGCATTGGAGAGATGCGCAGGGTTTAGGGTTTAGGGTTTAGGGTTTGGGGTTTAGGGTTTAGGGTTTGGGGTTTGGGGTTTAGGGTTTAGGGTTTAGGGTTTGGGGTTTGGGGTTTGGGGTTTGGGGTTTGGGGTTTGGGGTTTGGGGTTTAGGGTTTAGGGTTTAGGGCTCGAACCCTCAAAGGGTGTGAACCTGCATCTGCAGTTTCCAGCTTGCAAACCCCAAAAAGTCGGCTACGCGATCATAAACCCTAAACCCTAAACCCTCAGCCCTAAGCCCTAAACCCTAAACCCTAAACCCTAAACCCTAAACCCTAAACCCTCCCCGATATCCTATGCAAAGCCCTAGAACTCCCAAACTCTAAACCCTGCAACCCCCCAAAACACCCTAAGGCTCCAACCTCGTCAAACCCTAAAACCAGAATGTCCCCAACCCTAAACCTACAACCTCTCCAAACCTAAACCCCCGAACCCTGCAGCCCCTCTCCCCCCCCCTCCTCCAAAACAAAGAAAAACGAAAATACATTGGACTGCACTTCCACATCCCCCACGGCTCTTTCTCCCAAGTTCCGAAAAGAAATCGCTCGGAAGGGCTTGGCGTTTAGGGCTTTGGGTTTAGGGTCTAGGGTTTAAGGTCCAGGGTTCAGGGTGTAGGGTTTAGGATTTAGAATTTAGGGTCTGAGGTCCAGGGTTCAGGGCGTCAGGGCTTGATGGAGTTTATGGCTTTGGGGCTGTTGAGTCTCGGGTTTGCGGGAGTTGGGTGGTTCTCTAAATGAGGGTTCCCCGTAGTGGGGGGGGCCTTCGTTTAAGGGTGTCGTGACGTCGTGCTATATAAGACCCAACAAAGGGGCCCTGATTTAAGGGTGCCGTCCTATATGTGTGTGACGCCATAAAGGGCCCGAAACCCTAAACCCTAAACCCTAAACCCTTAACCCTAAACCCTAAACCCTAACCCCCAAACCCTAAACCCTAAACCCTAAACCCAAACCACCCCTTCAGGGCTTGCGACAAAGCCGCCACAAAGACGAGGATCACGAGAGTGATCTGATGCAGGCAGAGTCGACTTAAGCTTCCGGACGCGACCCTGTTCTTAGTAGGGAATGACGGAACTAGGGCCCCTATATATTCAATAGGGTACCTCATTCCCTACTAAGAAGGGATTGTTCCGCAGGTTTAGGGGGCTTGTGTGGAAAGTTCAGGGTTTGAAAAACCTTGTACTGCTAGATCAGGGCCCACTATATTCTCAGAGCCCTCAGCTCAGTGATCATGGAAGCCCTAAACCCTGAACCCTAAACCCCCAACCCCCAACCCCCAACCCTAAACCCTAAACCCTAAACCCTAAACCCCCAACCCCCAACCCTAAACCCTAGACCCTAAACCCTAAACCCCAAGCCCCGACCCTCTGGCATCCCTGGCCCCCCCCGAATCCGAGGCTTGCAGGGGCCCTTCGACCTAAACCCCCCTAGAAAGGCGAAATCCAAAATCCTAAGCAGCTTAGGGTTTAGGGTTTAGGGTTTGGGGTTTAGGGTTTAGGGTTTAGGGTTTAGGGTTTGGGGTTTAGGGTTTAGGGTTTGGGGTTTAGGGTTTAGGGTTTAGGAGCCCTGAACTCCGAGCCCTCATCCCGACACCCTGACAAGCCCTGCAGTCTTAACTCTGAATCCTAGGCGTGGCAACCCCCCCCCCCCCCCCCCAAAAAAAAAAAAAAAAAAACGCGGGGTTCGACGAAAGTAGGACCCCTAATAGAGTCCCGAGTAGTACGACTCCCTTAGACTAAGGACCCCAGTAAGTTACCTCCAATTTCGGAAACCCGCAGAGGGTGTCGGGTGTCTGGCTTTGGGGGGTATCACGGCACATGGACAAAGTGTAGATAGACGTGCCAGGCCTCCAGAACTACTTCAGCTGCACCTTTGAAGCTGCCTCAGTGCAATAGCTGATGTCTTAAACAGGGGGGCGTTCAAGGGGGGTATGTAACCCATGTAACCCAAGGTTCCCTAAGACTCCCCCCACTACTCCCTAAGGCTCCCTAAGCTTCCCTGTTCCCTGACATTCCCTCAATACCTGCCCCCGTGAACCCCGTCCCCTACGAACCCTATAAGCTGAGAGGCTGGCAGGTGAAGACCCCATCACCCAAATTCCGGAAACCACCCAAAAGCCCCAAACCGAAAAAGCCTCAACACCCCCCCCCCCCCCCCAAACCTCTCTGCAAGGAACACAGGCTTAGAGTACTGCAACAGGCGCCCTAAACCCTAAGCCCGAAACTCTAGAACCTAAACCCTAAACTCTAAACCCTAAACCCGAAACCACAAACTCTAAAACCCAAACCCTGAACCCTAAACCCTAGACCCGAATGAACCCACCTAGTTGCTATGATCGGAAGATGCATGCAAGCCCCCTTCGACACGTAGCCTGTCTAAGGGTAGTTGCATGGTCCCTTAGTATGGGACCTTACCCCTCTTATACCTCTTATAAACCCTATACGACTTAAGGGCCCATAAACCCTTTAAAGGAGGGCTAAGGACCATACTAGGGGCCCGTGAAACTACCACTAGGGCTGCCCAAAGCCCAAAAAACCCTAAGCCCCTAAGACCCTAAACCGGTAAGTAGAGGACCATCATATGGGGGTGTACGATAGCAGGGGGGTACCGTCATAGGGGTCCTTCGTCTTCCTACGATTTGGGGGGTCGAAAGTAAGAACCCTAAACCCTAAACCCTAAACCCTAAACCCTAAACCCTAAACCCTACACTTTCGTAAACTTCCAGATGCCGCGGCGCATAGGCCTCCACTCATTCGCAAGAAGCTCGGCATGCTTAGAGTCCTTGGGCTGTTTGGTTTAGGGTTTAGGGTTTAGGGTTTGGGGTTTAGGGTTTTGGGTTTAGGGTTTAGGGTTTAGGGTTTAGGGTTTAGGGTTTGGGGTTTGGGGTTTAGGGTTTAGGGTTTAGGGTTTAGGGGTTAGGGTTTGAATCCTTGGGCTGTTTGGCCGGACTCGTTGATACGTGATGAAATGCATCACTAGGGATGTTCGCCCCTTAGACTAGTAGCAGTCCTCGATGGGAACTATAATAGGGGGTGCTACAATTCATATTAAGGACACCTTAAGGACTGCTAGTATAAGGGGGAACACCCCCATTTTTATCACCATAGTTCCTTCTCCTGCTTTTGCTCTGCTTCTCAGACTCCTAGATGACAGCTTGTGATGCTGTGGTGAGCAGGTGCTGGGAATGGCGGTGATCAGGCGACTAGTGGTGCTGGCACAGTCTAGACGATTCAGTGGTAGGCAGGGCAGTTGTAGTAGAGTGGCAGAGTGGTATGGTGGTATGGTGGTATGGTGGTATCGTGGGATGGTGGGATGGTGGGATGGTGGTGTCGTGAAATTGTGGTATCGTGGTATCGTGGTGTCGTGGTACCCTGGTATGATGGTATGATGATGGTATGGTGGTATGGTCGCATGTTGGTACGGGGCTAGCAGATTGTAGTAGTAGTAGTAGTAGTAGTAGTAGTAGTAGTAGTAGTAGTAGTAGTAGTAGTAGTAGTAGTAGTAGTAGTAGTACTAGTACTAGTAGTCGTAGTAGTCGTCGTCGTCGAAGCAGCAATGAATGATGGCAATAGTACTATGTAGTAGTGCAGTAGTGGAAATCTCTTATGATCTTTTCAGCGCTTTGCTGTGTTGCATGAGTAGTGGGGGGGCGCGGCGCGTGGCCCCCCCGAAAAGAAAAGCAAACTAAACTAAACCCCCGATCCCGAATAAACTCCCAGACCCAACACCCTAAACCCTAAACCCTAAACCCTAAACCCTAAACCCTAAACCCTAAACCCTAAACCCTAAACCCTAAACCCTGATCAGGCGCGGCGCCAGAAGACAACTCGGATCAGGTCAATGGCCCACGGTTCTCGGACAGAAAAGGCGAGGAGTGGTATGGAGATACAGTCCTCGGGTGTTAACGCTGGGTTTAGGGTTTGGGGGTTTAGGGTTTAGGGTGTAGGGTTTAGGCTTGGAGTTTGGTGTTTGTGGGGGTCGAAGGGGTCTTGGGTTTGAGGAGTTTGAGGTTAGGAGGGCCGCGGGGGGTTCTAAGGTGAATGCGCTTAGGGGCTTACCGTTCTCGGGTTTCGGATGTAGTAGAGGCAAGCTTTTCTGGGCTTAGGGGAGGTCTTTAGGGGAGGTGTAGACTCTAGTCGACTTGCCAGGGGACATCCTGATAAACTGCTAAAGGCGCCACACCCCCAGAATCCCAACTGCGACCTACAACCATCAACAGCACGCTCGCGCTTGCTCTACTTCTGAGGGGGTGCGCGAATCAAACAGGCCAACTCTTGCTTCCAATTGTAACTGCACGTTAATATATCCCCCCCTAAGTCCTAAGTCCTCTGAGTAGGATATCAGTAGACTGATACAGTACCGTAGATGGCGGACAGAGAACCCCCAAGTGTAAGGCGTAGCGGCTCTGCAGCACAGGCTCTCGAGCAGAGCTGCAAGGAGCTCATGTGCACCCAGGAGCACTCAGAGAGGACGGAAGGGAGTTTGAAAGGAATTTGAAAGGAGTTTGAAAGGAATTTGAAGGGAATTGAAGGGACTTGAAAGGAATTTAAAGGAAGGAACTGAAAGAAAGGAACTGAAAGAAAGGAATTGAAAGGAATCAAGAGGAGGAAAATGCGAATGAAGGCAGGGCAGAGCGGCTCCGGAATCAGAACTCCTAATTGCAGGGCCAGCCGAAAGAATAGTTTCCTCGCTGTTCAAGCCGTATACACGCATAAAGGACCAACCGCGAAACACGTCCGGAAAGCTTGCCCTTCACCAGGCCGCTGGATACTAACAGCAAAGGAATGTTCAGAACAAAGCCCGGCCGAGAAAGTGAACTGTCGTGTTTCTCTGACTCTGCCGCAACCCCGGTTCCCGGGGGTTCTCGAAAAACTTTTGTTCGGGCCCAGTGCCAGAACAAGTCCTGGGAGCGGGGGGTGTGAGAAAAAAAAGATCTGAAGATTAGCATGAAAGGAAGCTGGACGGAGGAGCCACGCGGGGCATCAATATGCGCAACTGTGAATTGCTGCAAAGGAAATGCAGAGGAGCAAAACACATTTCACGGACAAGAAAAGAAACATGCGTCCCTTCTTCACTCGTTCTTCTCATGGGGCTGTTTAACTTGGTCCAGCCTCAGGTCCTTCTACTTCTACTACTACGGAGACCCATCGTTCAACCGTAAACTGGGCTCAGACTTCAGGCCCTCCTTCATCCCCTGCCGTAAGGCCGAGGAGCGAAGAGGATCAGGGCAAAAGCCGCTGCGACCCAGAGCCCCTTCCAGTCAGGCGGGCACAGCTTCTGGCCTCCCTCACGCTGGGTTGCGACGACGAAGTTCCAGGAGTAGGATCGCATGTTATTGAAGCCTAGGTTGGCCAGTAACCTAGGCTTAAAACAGGGTGCCCTTTTTTTGCTTAAAGGGGTTTATAGGGGAACCTAGAGCCCCCCAAAAAGGGAATGAGGGCACTACTGGGCATCCCAGAAGCTCTTCGTCATCCGGTAAGAGCCCTGCTCCTCCTGCCTCTTTACCCATCCCACATGCAGCCGAAAGGTGTTGTCCCCATGTGCAGAGCCCTCGTCACTTGGAGTCACCTGCCGGCTGTGCGTTGGCTGAACGGCAGACGGAACTGAGATCTGCGAAGTCTGCGGACGCAGGGTCTTGGGATTGAGGTTGGGCGCGTTGGGCGTCGGATCTGGGCTGGCTGGGCGGAGCTCTGGCACCATGTGCGGGATGTCGGCGGAGGCTTGCGACATATTCCGGGATCGAATGGCCCTTACCTGCATGGGGTTGGAGAGTCTGCGCTCATGCGAGGCCAATAGACCCTGGATGAGCTGCTCAATCTGGGACATCACACGCTTGATACCCACGCCATCAGCTTCCTGGTAGTCGTCCATGGCTCGCCCAAGAATTTCTAGAAGCTGGCCTGCCAGACTCAAGCCGCGCCCAGAGTTTAGGGTTCAGGGTTTAGGGTTTGGGGTTTAGGGTTTAGGGTTTAGGGTTTAGGGTTTAGGGTTTAGGGTTTAGGGTTTAGGGTTTAGGGTTTAGGGTTTAGGGTTTAGGGTTTAGGGTTTACTGCTGAAACCTCGACATCCGTTGCTTTGAGCAGCTGCCCTTGGGCACAAGCGACACTTGCTGATGGTTCCCCCAAGCTGCCTGACGGTTCATGACCACAGTCACAACCCAAACCGCTGGGACTAGACCCGGGAGTCTTCTAGGAATAAAAAGGGTGCCCTTCTTGGTTGTAAGGGGATTCCAAGAGAACCCCAACCCTAAAGAAAGGAAAAAGGGCCTACTCCCGGTCCTAGGGGAGGATCACAAAAGTAGAACCCCCAAATAGCAACCCTACACTACTGTGGGGTCGTTTTCAGGAGCCCTTAAGGGGATCTACTTTTTGGATCCTCGCAGGGGTCCGGGAACCTAGTACCGAAACACTGCCACTGACACTTCCACTCTTCCTTTTTCGACGCGCCGTGCGCGCTGGGGATCGGAGCACCGCAGAGTAGGGTTTGGGGTCTTGTGTTTAGGGCTTTTCGGGTTTCGGGTTAAGAGTTTGGGGGTAGGGTTTGGGGCCTTGTGTTTAGGACTTTTCGGGTTACGGGTTTCGGGTGCTCCCTTTTGGGGCCAGAGCCCAGACCTCCTCCTCGAAGGCACTAGGGACCTCACTCACCGGGCCACAAAAAGGGTGGTTTTGGGACAGGCGGTGGTCCTTTTAGGGTTTATGTCTTAGGGCTTAGGGCTTAGGGCTTAGTTTAGGGTTTAGGGTTTAGGGTTTAGGGTTTAGGGTTTAGGGTTTGGGGTTTGGGGTTTGGGGTTTGGGGTTTGGGGTTTGGGGTTTGGGGTTTGGGGTTTGGGGTTTGGGGTTTAGGGTTTAGGGTTTAGGGTTTAGGGTTTTAATTTATCGCTAGCCCTACGTAAGCCCCGTACCAGCCTCCCCAAAACCACCGTCGGGGCCGGAGGATCTGCGCGCAGGGGCACACCCTGCACAGACCCCCTATGGGTGACACAGATCAGGGCTGAAGCTGTAGGTTTCCGGTTTAAGGGCTTAGGGGCTTAGGGGCTTAGGGGTTTAGGGTTTAGGGTTTAGGGTTTAGGGTTTAGGGTTTAGGGCTTAGGGTTTAGGGTTTAGGGTTTCGGGTTTCGGGTTTCGGGTTTAGGGTTTAGGGTTTAGGGTTTAGGGTTTAGGGTTTAGGGTTTAGGGTTTAGGGTTTAGGGTTTAGGGTTTAGGGTTTAGGGTTTAGGGTTTAGGGTTTAGGTGGAACTTAATGAATAGGTCAGAGGCAGGGTTGAATGAGCATAGCCCAATTACGACATGGAGGTTTCGGCCTGCTTTCAAATGTTTGCACAGTCCAGGTACTGAGCCTCTTCTCACCGCAGCCCTAAGCCGATTCCACTATCCACTCGCAGACAAGCCCAATACCGCCCCCAACGAAGGAAAACACATCCAAAACCCTCACCCGCCACAGTATCCTCAAATGAAATGAGAGGGCTATTTCCCGAACTAATCCTAAACCCTAAACCCTAAACCCTAAACCCTAAACCCTAAACCCTAAGGGGTATTGGGCTCTCTAGGGAACAGCAAAATGATAGGAGCCCGAGATGTCAACGTCACAGCCGCACAGGCTTTGCTGAGACATCTGTGGACCACTCTCCACCTTGCTTCGGGAGGTGTTTTAGGGTTTAGGGTTGAGGGTTTAGGGTTTAGGGTTTAGGGTTTAGGGTTTAGGGTTTAGGGTTTAGGGTTTAGGGTTTAGGGTTTAGGGTTTAGGGTTTAGGGTTTAGGGTTTCGGGTTAGATTGGGGCTAAAACTATTAAGGCTTTGTGGGGCTTTCGGGTTGGAAGATTTAGGGCCTTCGGACAGGGCTTTGGGGTTTAAGGGTTTAGGGTTTCTGACTTAGACCCACCGCACTTGCCAAGGTAGTTGCGGCCAATCCGCCAAATCTGGCGGGGACCAGGTGTGGGCGAGTCTCTGCAGCATCCTGCGTCAGGGTTCAGGGCTTCGGGTTCCGGATCGAGCTTCAGGCAGAGGGCCAAATCCTGCAAGCTCTAGAACCCTAAGCCCTCATTCTTCGACACCAACTGGCGGCATGCCCCGATCCCCAAAACAACGGAGCCTCGTGCCCTAAACCCTAAACCCTAAACCCTGAACCCGGCCCATGGGGCATCTTTCCGACGACTTCTTTCGGGTCTCAAGTATCGGGCTTACGTTGGTGTCATGATTATATTATATTAAACTATATTCTGTTCTTTTCTATTCTATTCTATTCTATTCTATTCGATTATGACAGCATATTGTATACAACAATGATATAATATAGAAAATATTGCATATGAAATACTTGAATACCATTATGTGTAACATTAATTGTACTATACATAGTATATCTAGAATTCTATACAGTATACCATAGAACGTTTGTATATGCTGTATCCACAACTTCATGTTATGCAAAATGTAACATTACACGTACAGAACTTTCTATCTAACGTTCTACATATAAAACACCAATGCATTGTATAGAAAGATGTATTATATACAAGCTATCTTGCCGAATACCATGTACCATGTGTTGTGCCCTATAATATTACAGATAAGGAAATAAGAAAAACAAACGAATATATACATATATATGTATGTACACATACATGTAGAAACATATATGTAAATATTATATATATATATATGTATGTGTACATACATACATACATATATACGTATCAGGGTTTAGGGTTTGAGGGTTTCGGTCTTAGGGTTGCAGGGTTTAGGGGTTTATGGTTTTGGGGGTTTTGGGTTTGGGGTTTAAGGATTTAGGGTTTTACGGTTTAGGCACGGTTTCCGGGCTTTAGGTCTTTAGGACTTTAGGGCTTTAGGGTTCAGGGTCTCGGGATTGCGTGAACCGTTCGGGCACTGAACTCCTCATATGAGCCTTGGACCGCACAACCCTAAACCCTAAACACTAAACCCTAAACCCTAAACCCTAAATAAACCCTAAACCCTAAACCGCTCAAACAGACCTGCTGGAAACGGCAAACGCATGGCAACCTGTTACTGTTTCCTATATGACAACCTGCTTCCTGTTTTGCAGTCTGCACCCCAACCCGCCCCCAAACTCCCTCCCCCCCCACCCCCGGCAAGGCACCCTCAACCCTAAACTTCCCTAATCTCTACACCCTGAACCCTAAACCCTAAACCCTAAACCCGAAACCCCTAAACCCTGAACCCCTAACCCTGAACCCTAAGCCTGAACCCCAAAGCCCTGAACCGCCATCCCTAGAAGAGGCCTCCTCAGAGCGGTGGGTACCTGTAGCGCTCCTCAGACCTCCGTGGGGGCGACAGGACAGGGCCAAACGAGAGGGTCTCAGGGCTTGGGGTTTAGGGTTTAGGGTTGAGGGTTTAGGGTTTAGGGTTGAGGGCTCAGGGCTTGGGGTTGAGCGTTGAAGGTTTAGGGTTTAAGGTTGAGGGTTGAGGGTTTAGGGTTCAAGGTTCGGGGTTCAGGGCTCTGGGGCTTCAGGGCTTCAGGGCTAGAGCTCAAGTCACATCCCAGAAAGCCCACTTCAAAACAGGGGCGGGGCGTAAAGGGCTTGGTCATGATCTCCGATGAAAGAATTCAACCCTAAACCCTAAGCCCTGCACCCTGAACCCTGAACCTTAACCCCAAACCCTAAACCCTCAACCCTAAACCCTAAGCCCTAAACCCTAAACCCTAAACCGTAACCCTAGGCCCTAAACGCTAAGCCCTAAAGCCGTAAAGGAGCCCGTGGCTCGACTTATGCCCCCAAGACCCCGAAATCAAGAGATTGAGTTTTGGCATACATCTCTTAAAGATTGAGTTCTGGCATACATCTCTTAAGGAGTGAGTTTTGGCATGCATCTCTTAAAGATTGAGTTTTGGCATACATCTCTGAAGATCTCAAGTTTGGCCGCTCCCATGTCTTTGAACTTCTGAGTCCTGAGCCTTCTTCTTCTTCTTGTCCTCCTCCATCATGAGCGTGTGAACTTTCGATCAGCACTCTTCCTGGCGCCGGCCTGGACCAGCTTCAACAGGAACTCGCCCTCCCCTTGTGGGATCTTCTTGCCTTTGGAAGCCAAGCCACAGCCTTTGGCCTTGCACTTCGTTGCCCGAAAGTTCGAGCAGCCAAGAAAGAACTTGCCATCGTTGGGACCATCTGGCTTCCAACAAAGGACGCCTTCACATGAGGGCACCGGGCATTTCATCCCAGTATCATTCCCAAGGCCCACTTTCAGCTTCTTGGGCAACGGCTCACCCTCTTGCTTCACAGCCATGGACAGGCTCTGGCGTAACAGCCCAAGCAGATCCTTCACTTGCGCCCAAGCCATGTCGGGCGTGCCATACATGCATGCCAGACTCAATGCACAGGGTTTAGGGTTTCGGGTGTAGGGTTCAGGGTGCAGGGCTTAGGGTTTAGGGTTTAGGGTTTAGGGTTAGTGTTTAGGGTTTTTGGTTTAGGGTTTAAGGTTTAGGGTTTAGGGTTTAGGGTTTAGGGTTTAGGGTTTTTTTTTAGGGTTTAGGGTTTGGGGCCTAGGGTTTAGGGTTTAGGGTGTAGGGTTTAGGGTTTAGGGTTTAGGGTTTTTTAGGGTTTAGGGCTCGGGGCTCAGGGTTAAGGGTTTCGGGTGGCCCCCTGTATATGTAGTGCTGGGCATTCTGGGCGCCACAATCATCCTGAGCAACTCGGAGCATCCGACAAGCCTCATCGGGTGTTAGCCTAGGTTTAGGGCTTTAGGTTCCAGGGCTTCGGGTTTAGGATTTAGGGTCTAGGGTTTAGGGTTTAGGGTTTAGGGTCTAGGGTTTAGGGTCTAGGGTTTAGGGCTCCAAGGATTCTGAACCCTGAGCCCTCAACCCGAAGCTTAGCCCGGGACTCGAAATCCGGCGTGGGC